GCATATCTCATGAAGTTACGACGGATGTTTCGAATCAAATATAGTGATAAAACTATGTATAGTAGAAATTAATCAGTAAGAAACACGGAAAATAAGTTGTACGCTAATTGACGCTATTCAACAAGGCACCCTATAATCTCGAGGAAACCAACACTTTCTGTGACCGATCACAGGCAGCTTCACAGTTCGTGACGTTGCTATGGAGTTATTCATGTAGTGACAAACTGTTTGTAAAACTGAGAGATCTTAAAATTGGTTTATCATTGAGCAGTGATCAATTTTATGCTTGTCTAGTCCTTGGTGCTGGTTGAATTCTATCAATCAAATTACAAAAATATTAAATATAAAAGTGATATTTGTGAGACAATATGATCAAGTTATTGATATTCAAGATGGTATTTGATCAGTCTCTGTTGATAGATGGTAATCTTATTAAAATGGTATGCATATAGATGAACATTTGTGATTTCTTTTTTGTCATAATACTATGAAGGTACTAAATGGTTTGAATTATTTTTCCAAACCTGGAGAACTACGAAAGCCATCATCCAGAAAATACAGGTGTTTATTAACAGTTGTCTACGCAAAATACTTCGGATCCGTTGGTTAGACACTATCAGCAACAACCTACTGTGGGAGAGAAATAACCAGATCTCAGCGGAAGAAGAAATCAGTAAGAAACGCTGGAAGTGGATAGGACACACATTGAGGAAAGCACCTAACTGCGTCACAAGGCAAGCCCTCACATGGAATCCTCAAGGCTAAATAAAAGAGAAGTTGATGACCAAAGAACACGTTTTGCTGAGAAATGTTAGCAGACATGAGAAGAATAAACAAAAATTGGATAGAACTAGAAAGGAAGGTCGAGGTTAGAGTGGGTTGGAGAATGCTGGTCGACGGCATATGTTTCAATGGGAGTAACAGGCGTAAGTAAGTAAGTAAGTATCGAAGATACTGAATTGTTATTCACCTAATATAATAGTTTTTATTTATTATGTATATATTTTCATTAACTTGTCTTTCAATTTGAGTTTGGCATTAAGGTTAGTGTAGTTGTCTATTCAATCAATGAATATATTCGGTAATGAGTATGAATTTGTGTTTGTTTTAACATTAAATAAGAAAGAAAGCTTAGTTCAGTGAAGAGTTCTCCCCTTTTCGGCGAATTCATTTTCAAAGCTGTACAATCGCAAATATATATACGTATTTTTACAGGGTGATAATAATACTGATAATAAACTTCTGTTAGACATGGTGACAGTGAGGTTAAATAAACAAAGGTATTAGAAAAACAATTTTTTTAAACAAGGAAAGTTTGATAGTTAATGGCTTAAATATTCATCGGGTAAGGATGGCTTAGCATGATAAAATAACACAAAATGTTGAAACAGAGATGAAGTGTAATCGGAATGATCGTGGAAATAAAAACAAACCGGTTGGGGGTAGAAGATTTGAAGGGAAGATGGAAGGTGAAGCAGGGGCTGTAAAGGAACAAGAGTATGAAGAAAGAGAAAAAAATTTTAATATCTTAAGACCACGGTAAAAGAAGAGGTTGTACCAGTCTCTTTTGTACATATAATTCTGGTTTTTCAAAATGTATGGCTATTGCCTCGGCAATGCAAAGAAGATTCAGTCTAATTGTCTTAGGAAGGCTTCTACTTACCTTGTAGATGACTTTGAACTCAGAGTCTGTCTTGATTGAGTGACCTGTGTTCACAAGGTGTTCGATTATAGAACTTCTTATTGAGCCGTTGCCTCCTCTTTCCTTGTTTTAAAAAAAAAGTTTTCTTTAATACTTTTATTTATTTTACCTCACTGTTACCATGTCTAACAGAAGTTTATTATCAGTATTATTATCACCCTGTAAAAAATAAGTATATATATTTGCGATTGTACAGCTTTGAAAATGAATTCCCCGAAAAGGGGAGAAATCTTCACTGAACTAATCCTTCTTTCTTATTTAATGTCATAATGGGTGTTTTAACATTATCGTCAAAAGAATGAATTTTATTAAGGATTGAATATAACTTCTTGCTTTCATTTTTGGTCAACTACTAATTTATAAACATCCAGTTCGAATCCATAAACATAACAGAACACATTGAAACATGATTATAAGAATTGGACATTGAATGTATAAAATTATAAATACAACCTATTTAATTTTTAATCTTTTACTATAATGAATGTGGTCTATAGATCGAAACTACTTATATTTAACACTTCATCTATCAATCAATTTGGTTTTAGTTCCTATTAAGGTGTGTAGTTTGATTGGTCTATTAAATAGACTTCCCTTTTTTTTTTAGAAAAAAAGACTAATCAATTAAGTGTGCTTGTAGTGAAGAAGAAAACACATACGGGAAAATCGAATGTATTTGAATACAATAATTCAGAACATCTTAGTAGGGTTTGAGAAGCATACAGTAAATACTTCATTTGTAAAATGTCTATCAATCATCTTAGACTTCATTGTTCCTTTGTTTCCATAGCGATCATTCACTGTTCTATTTCACTTTTTTTCGAACTTCTTAATGTTGAGTTTTGATTGATGTTACATACTACTTATATTTATCGATATCGGTAGCACACACCACAGACTGAACAGGTTGTTCAAATTAAAAGAGAAACAATTACTAGACAAATAGTACATGACTATTCAATATCAACTGAACATTTCAGGTTACATAAGATGATCATATGTGGGGCAAGGAATGTGTTAATATTTCAAGACAAATACGTTTTTAATCAAATAGTTTCTTCATATGATATATCTAATGGTTAAGCGCTCATGCATGAGAGTGATAGGTGCTGGGTTCGAATCTTGCGAGGCGGGATCGTGGATGTTCATTGCTGAGGAGTCCTACGGTAAGACGAAACAGCCATCCAGTGCTTATAGGTTTTCCATGGTGGTCTAGCTTCAACTGATTCATGATCTCAACTATTGAGAATCACTTATCAGTAGGAAAAATTGTTTACACATCTAGTAGTTACATATTACAGTAATGTTTATTGAATTATTATATTTGTGATATAAATCATATATGGAATCATTTATTCTATACTTAGTTATAATGATAAAACAATGTAATATCATCTGACTAATTAATCAAAAGAAAACTGATGATGATATGCTATTCTGATCAATGAAATTTACATTACCCTAGTCTAAATGAATGAATGGAGTTTATGTAATGAAAGTTGAGATCATGAGTCAATTGAAACTAGACCACTATGGGAAACCTGAAAGCACTGGATAGTCGTTTCGTCCTACAATTGGATAATAAACATGTTTTCAGTAATGAATAGGTTACAAATAATCTGGAAGTTTCTCAAAATGGACCCATATTCTACCGAACTAACCAATGAGGGAATGATAATATAGCTCATTGAATTTGATAGTTGGTGATTTCTTTGAATAATAACCTGGTTAAGGTTCAACATTTAGAGCATTCAATTTTAACTTACTGGTTGAGTAGTATAGTTCTTGATAAAAGATTTAAAGGTTTTGGGTTCGATACCATATATATGACTTATGGCTACAAATTGATCAACCGTTTCAAAAGGAATAAAAACAGTTGATGTTTATACGGTAAATATTATCATACAACAGTTAGCACATATTATCTAATGCTAGAAAACTGATTTCGAAGGTTCTAGTTTCGAGTCTTAAGTGTGGGATCTTGATTGAACACTACTAAGGAGTACAATAATAGGACGAAATGGCCATCCAGTGGTTCTAAGCTTTAAATAATGGTTTAACATTGATCGATTGATGATTTCAATCAAAAATGAGAAACTCTTTAGGAAGTATAACTTGTGGAAATCAATATTTGAGAGATTAGATATGCTAGATTAAATCGAGTTTATTTGGTCAAATTGAAGTAATCAGAGAGGGAGTTGAAGGACACTTAATATAATATTTAGTATATAAAGTTGATATTTTTTTCTAGCTAATTCACAAATAGGTTATTATAAGTGATCATTTTCTAGCTAGAGAAAAAATTATGCACTTCTTGGTTTGTTTGTAGCTACACATTAACACCATTGGATGCCGGGCGACTCAGTGGTCTAATGGTTAAGCGTTCGCGTGCGAGGTCGTTAGGTCCTGGGTTTGAATCTCTCGAGGTGGGATCGTGGATTCGCATCGCTGAGGGGTTCAACAATAGAACGAGTTGGCCATTCAGTGCTCTCAGGTTTTCTGTGGTGATCTAACTTCAATTGACTGATGATCTCAACCACTGAAAAATCTATGTATAAAGTTCCGACAAAATTTATGAATTTCTAAGGTTACTTTAAGGTTCATATGATTTAAATAAGAAGAAATAATGGTAAACGTATTCATCTACGGGTATCCTTATTACTGAAGAAAAGTTTCAACATAAGTAATTGAACTATGCAACATAACACGATTTCCATACTTTATGAGGTCAATACATTCAATGTATTAATGTTAATTGTCCTTTTATTTACATTAACGATCGTCAACCCATGTTATATTTGATTCTAGTTCTTGTATAGATGAAACATTTAATGTGCAATCAATGAGATTATTATTAATTACCATCTGATTAATATATTATGAATGAATGTCAATTGTTTCAATCATTTTGCTTTTATTATTCTATAAATGAACAAAACAGTATTATTATCATCATAAAATGATGGTTGAAAGTAGACAACATGTAACCCTAGAACCAGGTTTCGTATTATTTGACACTCATCAGCAAGGTGTACCTATAATCTTAAGGGAAAAAAATACTCCTTGACGGATTCGATCTTATGTCACCTAACTTCACATTTAGAGACTTGAGTTAATCAAAACACCTGAAATACATGATATTGATCACTAATCAATGATCAATCAATTGTGAGTATTATTATTATTATTATTACACTTTATAATTCGAATTATAAAGACTGTACCATCATTATCATCATCATCATCATTTTCAACGCCTGTTACACCAAAAATAATCGAAAAACACGACAACAACATCAACAACAACAAATAACTCATTCATCAATGGAAGATTTCTTAATAGTTTTCTTTTCACTTTTACAAGAATTAAAATTCACAAAGAGACATAAAGAGAGACAGAACGAACAAGGAAGCCAGCGAAAGAGAGAGAGGGAAATATAAGGAATGACATTAACAATCACAACAATGTTATAACAACATTAGTAACAATAACGTTAGAAATTAGAACATTCACAATAAAAGCAATATTTTTTTTAACAGAGAGAACACTCAGTGATAAAATGTAAGGAGATCAACTAAGTATCTATGTATGTATGTATGTATGTGTATGGGAGCGAGCGAGAGAGAGAGAGTGAGAATGGGGGCGGCGAAGGAACAAATAAAACAATATATCATCATTGTATTCAATAATGTTCAGTATATTAATGAAAGAAAAATGGATAACACATATTGAATATTGATTATTATTTTCAATGTTTCAGTTTATTTTAGTTTACATTTATCATTTTAATTATGATCAATTTTGAAAATAAAAAGAAAATGAAAACGAGTAAACATCAACATAAAGAAAAAAACAAACAAAAACACCCCCCCCCTCAAAAAAAAACAAACAAAAAAAAACATTAACATGTTTTCAACCATAATTCACACTTACTTTTAGTTTCACCAGATAATTGATTATTGATTATTTGTTCTTGTGAATTATTTGTAGTCATAGAGATATTATCAGCATATTCTATTGAAATTGATGGAGTATTATTAATATTTCTATTGTATATTACATTATTATGATTATTATTGTTACTATGTAAAATGGTATTTTCATTAGATCTTGTTGATAACATTGTTAATTGTTCATCAAAATTAGATAAACATGGTAGACTAAGTGAGTTGGTTAAAGTTGAACTGACATTATTATTATGATTATGAGTAATAGATGAAAATGTACTGTAGTGTAGACTTAAACTTTTATGAAATGGACAAAAATTTTTCGATGAATTAGTTGAAAATATATCAAGTATATCCCATAGTCTTGGTATAGTTATACTACTATTATCATAATTATTATTAGTAGTAGAAGTAGTAGTAGTACCGTCCATATTTACATTCATACTAGATAAACTAAAGAATCGTTTTAAATGAAAATCGTCAAACTGTTGTTGTAAATCTATATAAATAGTATTACATATTGGACAAATTCGATTATGGTTTTTATTATTATTATTATTTAGATTTAGATTTAATTTAGAAATTTCATGATCTGATAAATCATCATCTATATCTTCACTTACATAAGATAGACTAGGTACATGTACAATTAATGATGCTGTGGATGCAGTGAATACATGTCGTTCTGGTAATTTAATATGGGATAATGATTTAGAATCTCCATTATTATTATTATTATTATTATTATTACTATTACTACTATTACCTGTTTTCGAGAATTTATCCCAATGTTCAATATCTGTAAATGGATAATTTAAACGTTTTTCATTATTACAATGTGTAGTCGTTTTATAATCTGATTTTATTAATGATTTACGATGGGATACTAATCCAGTTGAATATTTATCTAATTCAAAATCTTTCATTATTGACATTGATTTACATAGAACTTCTAATTAAACAAAGCATATCCAATATTCCATTGAAATTGAACATTTATACATATACAATAAACATATAGATCATTTATACAAGAAAGAAATAGAAATTAATTCATTTCTTCTATGGATAATAATCAAATCATGTATGAATTGAATGAATCTATATTTTTCTTTGGATGATACCGCACAATTTATATTTACCGGTAAATGTTTGTTTAAAAAAAACCATTAATCGATATCTGATTGGTTAAATCATTCGATCAATTCTTAAGTCAATTTCTTCGACCAATCAAATACTTTTATTCATTTTACATAAAATTGAATTCTGATTGGTTGAATTATGTTTTGACCTTGAATGATTTATAGTTTGTTTTATAAAAATATTATTAGATTTGAAATGAAAATTAGCGCCTAAATAACTTTTTTATTTATAGAGATTATAAGATTGAAGATCTAAGTGTTTATGATTCAGTTTAAGAATTCAAGAAGATACTTAGTCAAAAACTTTCTTTTACTTCTGATTGATTGATTGATTGATTGATTGATTGATCGTAGTATGAAAATCTTGACATTTGACGAGAAGCATAGAATACAATGGAGAGCTCGGAATCAATTAGAAGATTTAGATTACACAGATAATCTAGATCTTTTATCTTATACGCACGAACCAATGCGAATAAAGACAACTTGTTTAGTAGCAGTCTTTAAATCAGTTGGCCTTAGCATACACAAAGGAAATAACAAGATCTTCAAATGCAGTACGGAGAACACTAATCCAATCACATTTGATGGGGAAACTCTGAAAGATGTGAGACAGCGTTCCTACAATTGAACAATATATGCAACTCAAAACAACTGTCTGTCAACTATTATCAAAATCACAATCTTCAACACAGTTCTATTGTATGAAGCTGATACGAGGAGTACTACTATAACCATCATCAAAAATGTACAAGTATTTATAAATAGCTGTCTACGTAAGATATTCAATACCCGTCTACCGGGAAACATTAACTACAGTCTACTGTGGAGAGAAAAAAACCAGTTTCCAACTGAAGAGGAAATTAGGAAAAGACGATGGAAATGGATAGGACATACATTATGGAAATCACCAAATTGCATCGCAATGCAGGCCCTATTTTGGAATCTTGAAGGGAAGTGTAAAAGTGGAAAGCCAAAAAATACATTACGTCGAAGGAAGGAACTGGAGAGGATTACCCAGGAGAGGGTTGGGTTGAGAATGCTGGTGGGTGGCCTATGCTCCTTTTAAGGGGTATCAGGCGTAAGTAAGTAAGCAACGGCTATTAGATTTAAATTGTATATCTTATTATTTTCCTACTTCAAACTAGATTTATAATGTCTCTAAAAACTTGTCTATAAAAATAGAATTTAAGTAATCTTACAACTTTTTGTGTCTATTTGAATGAAATTACGTATTCAGATTGTGTATGATACTTTTCCCTATGTTAAGCTACAAAATTCCCTTATGAGTAGTGTCCTTATTGTATCTATGACCATTTAACGTTGATAGTATATATTACTGTTATGTAAATGAGGAGCCTTTCTGAGATTTTAGTCGAACTTCCATGTTTTTTCGAAGTTATTTTCTTCAACCATTACTACTTTATTAGAAACTTATAACTAACTTATTGATTTGGATATTGTAGTTTAAGACCCTAGATTTACAGATTAAGGGGAAATTCTCTCGTTAATTATGTGAAGATTGTAGTGGTTTGTCAATTGAGATCAATCTATCTATAATGAAAACTCTAACGGTTTATGATTATGTGGATCACTTTCTTGCTCCATCATGATAATAGTCTAGCTGTAAATGATCGAATATAAAATACCTCGATGAATTTTCATTAATTTGTTATGTTTGGGTATCTTCAGATGTTATTGAACATGGTTCAGAATCGAATTCAATAAGGATGATATTTTATGTATATCAAACTTCAATTGCTTTTACTTCTCAATGGAAATAATCACTGACTAACTCTAAAAACTTTCGCAGTGTTTTCTTTTTACAAAAGGGAGATCAGAGGTGAGTTCTCTTATACTCATATTGTAGTGAACAGGAACACGGGTGGCGACAATCGATTGTATTTAGCACAAAGATTACAGACTATCTCAATAAAATGTGAATACCATAAAGTCAATCGTCAATTTGCAAAATATCATTCCATCATATCAAACTGTACTGTTCCCGTTGCAAACACTAATCCATTGTCTCCCATTCCATTGTACATATGTTTTCTTACAATTACATTGTGCTCTTGCTCTTCCTTTCTTGATCTTCGCCATCTTCTGCTGCCGGACATTACGTTTATTTAACGCACGTTATATACTACTTATATGAATATAAGTAGCTCACACCACAATATGATTGTCTTTTAGAATGAAATTAACTAACAAATTGTCATAAACATTATAAATCTGAAGAAACTATGATCATTTCCCTATTCTTAGTACTTGTCTTTTGATCAGTTCTGATGTTAACAGCCTAAAGTATTAATGTTTAATTAAATTAAAGGAATAAAGTTTGAGAACTTTAATTTTGTCGTCTTAGAGATTGATTGTGGAGAAATACATCAGACAAACGATTCAAATGTACGCCATCTATGATTTGATTTCGTTTCTTTTGACATAAGTACGTGAATACTGGTTTATGGATATAGAAGAATGGATAGTGGCTGGTAAGAAGTATTTAGAAAATAGATTGTAGTTTCTGAATTACTTTTTTGTTATTGTTACTTACCAGAAACTTATAAGTATATGAATCCTTAAGGTGTGTTAAATACGAATATTTTCACCTATGATCTTCAACTCCTGAACTATAAGTGATGTGTTCGACAAAGCGCTTATTTAAATGAGCAACTGAAGTTTATAAATTCGTCTCATAAATTTGATTTTACATCATGTTTGAACACGGTAGTGAACCACTTCTCATAAACGAATAATTTCCATAGCTGGGCCCCACTAATTAGATATAGGAAATTAATTCACGCCTTATCCTCAAGGATCAAGCGAATATATTTCGTCAGATTCTTATTAAGAATGGTGGCGAGACTCTAATTTATGGACGACCTTTGAACGAATCCTAAGTGACCGTGGGAAATATTAACCAATCAGTAGACAGTCAGTATAGAGTAAAAATATGTTATACAGAACCGAGGAAATAAAGTGGATACACTTCTTATACGTGGTTCAAAAACTTGCCAAGGTTAGAAAGAGGTTCAGAGGTTCTAAAATCGTAATGTATACAGTAGAGGGAATCATCCATACGACTACAGAATGGTCGGCCTCTGGAGCCGTGATAAAGTCTCAAAAACTCTTTCAGCCTCGAACACATAGTTCAATATTGTTTATCTGCACTCCGGTTGTTAATTGCACAAAATGCTACTTGTGGATAACGACACGATGTACATAACCAAGCCTATGTAGCAGTCTGTACGCTCTCCAAACATCCATATATATTGTAGTACCTGGCTGCAGCCAGTGTTACTGGTGCTTTTATTATCCAGTTCGCGATAATTTTCGTAATTTGCCTTAGTTAGGAATTATATATGCCAGAAATTTATTTAGCCAAATGGATGAAAGGCTTTCGCGTTAAAATCGGTGATCTATTATCTTATACCTGATTGATTCGTCCACAAATTATAGTCTCGCCGTTTTATTTGTTATAGCCGCTCAATTATCACGTTTTGTACAAAAAATTCCTTGTGAACCGACCATACGTTAACCTAAAGCACTGAAGTTGGAGCAGTAACCTTGAAATCTCTAGAACGTCTCTGATTGGCTCGTCCATAAATTAGAGTCTTGCCGGAATGGTTATCCATCTAGATTCCTTGATAGTAGCTTAACAACTAGACATCATCCAGAAAGTGCACTGATAATACAAAAGAAAACTCTTTTTATGAATATGAACTTTAAAAGAAACTGTGGCTGCTGAACTCTTGAATAAACGAATTTCAAAATCATTGAAAGAAATATACCTCTGAACTGACCAAACATAATCTTTGATAATTTTCTTTCAGATACTAATAATCGTTTAAAGTTCTTAGTGGGAACTGTATAATAGTAGTTAAACTAAGAAACATTGAACTGTTTACAATTGAATCATTATTATAAAGTAATCAATATCGGCTACCTTATTCTTTAGCTCTTATCGAATCTTATCAAACAAGTTGTAATGTGGTAGGAAACTTTAGGAAACTCAATTTCACATATGCTATGTTGACATGTTAACTCCGCCTGGAGTCTCCCCGGGGGCTACTGTCGGTCCCAAGCCCGAATAAAGGAGGAGGGTTCGGCATGAGGTTAGCGACCCCATCCTGTAGAAAACTAACTCGCTAAAAAAACACTAACCAGAAAAATGCTGGTCAGCGACCTATGCTTCATTAGGAGTATCAGGCGTAAAAAAAAGTGTTGACATGTTAAATGTATGAGAGTAGTCTTAATTTTTCAGGAGATAAGCCGTATTCCAAATAGTTCAGTGTTGAAGTCCTAAATTATAAATCTAAATTTGAATACAACTTCGAATCCCATATGAGAGAATCATTCGTTAACGATGTCTTATTTTAATCAAGTTATATCACAAATTGACTAAATTCTTATATCATTCAGTGTTTAAATATTATTCTATTTATTAAACAACATTAAGATTTTATTTTGATGAAGTTTTATTCACAGTCCTATCTGAAATTTGTGCTGATGATGTCATTCAGGAGAACAATGAAAGCTTCACGATCAAAACATCCAACTTAGAGAACTAAACTCCATCAAAATCATTCACTTGAGCTACAAATCTTCTCCACTATCTTAAGATTTTATGATCAACGTAGTATGACATTATGAGTGTATCCACCTATCAGAAACGTCGAACTAGGATCGACCCAACTGCTCAGTATATTCTGGATTTTTTTGGTTTACGATAAAAAACAGCCTTCAGACAGTCAAAAATCTCTACAAAATGCTTAAGCTAGTGAAATCAAGGGAATCCATATATACAGAATAGGTAATGTAATACAAATCAAGGACACAGTATCATGAATTGAAGTTCATTATGATCATATCACACATTCCGCGTGATTATTCCAAGCCACAATCTCTTTCTATTCCCTTCAACTCGACCTTCTTAGCTTTTAGTTGCCAGGATTTCCATTTCTGATTGGTGTTACATACTACTTATTTCGATATACATAAGTAGTATACACAACAAGTGTTCATATATTTGTATTTATATGGATGTATTGAATCAAATCGAATGATATGATTCATATTGAAAATTGGTTATTACTGACGAAATAATTTTACTTAGTTATTTTATTGAAACACATAAACATTTGTACAAGGAGGCATCAAACAGATATGATTTTTGTGAGGGCTAGAGTACTGCTTGGTCACGAGAATCGAAGCAGGTAGATTTCTTAGGAAGCCACACCACGAGCCTTTGACCTAGAGGTGTAATTCACAAGGCAGTGGAACAATGTCAGGAGATGCAGTCGCATGGCAACCAGTGAACAACATTAAGTCCATACTCCATATGTTCGCCTAAGATGTTGGAGACCATGTACAACATTGGTTCGGAATAAAGGTTTCTCAACCCACCTAGGTGGATCCTCTGATGTACCCGCAGAACCGGTTAAAGAGCTGGTAGTTTGCTTTTCGTCTTTTCAACTTCATAAGTTGCACCTCCACCGCGCATATGTATATAATGGTTAAAAAATAACAGAGAACAGATTTTGTGCTTTACTCTGAACATCCATAGCAATGTTCACACGTGATCTCTTATTGGATCAACTTTGAAATGTTCAGTCAAACACTGATAATATGAGAAAATTGTTTCTTCATCATTGATCTATAATGTTTATCATATGAAAAACAGTGTGTTTTGTTAAATGTTTTCAAATGAAGCAATTGCCAATACACTATCCTAAAGATGATATAATAGTGTAATGATGCTTATATACAGACATTGACATGTATTTACTCTAATATATTTGCATTCATTTTTTATGAATGAACATAAATGCGGGTGGTAGGTCAATGAACATTAACCATTATATTGTTTCAGCTTAAGTTTCTCAGTAATGAACCTTGGTTAGCTAATGTCATGTTCAATAAACAGAAAATCTGAACAATTTGATGAATGTTATAATCAGAAAAGAAATGGATCGAGAGTTGGAATCTTTTTCTTTTATTTATAGCTACACATCAACAATCACAGACTCGTTCGAAGTAAAGACTGGTGTCAGGCGAGGTTGCTTACTTTCATCCTTTCGCTTTCTCCTGGTTGTCGACCGCATTATGAAGACGTCAACATCTAAGGTGGAAGTATGGGATACAGTGAACACATATAACGCAACCGGAAGATCTAGACTTCGCAGTTGATCTGGCTCTTTGGTCGCACATTCGACAACAAGTGCAGGAGAAAACGACCAGTGTAGCAACAGTAGGTCTGAACATACACAAACGGAAAAGCAAGATTATCCGATTCAATACAACATGCATCAATTCAATCACACTTGACGGAGAAGATTTGGAAGATGTACAAACCTTTACATATCTGGGCAGCATCATTGATGAACACGGTGGATCTGATGCAGATATGAAGGCGCGGATCAACAAAGCAAGAGCAGCATATCTACCATCGAAGAACATCTGGAACTCAAAGCAACTGTCAACCAACACCGAGGTCAGAATTTTCAATACAAATGTCAAGACAGTTTTACTGTATATGGCAGAAACCTGGAGAACAATGAAAGCCATCATCCAAAACATTACAAGTGCTTATTAACAGTGGTCTGCATAAATAAAATTGGATGCATTGGCCAGACGATATCAGGAACACCCTATTGTAGTAGAAAACAGACCAGATCCCAGAGGATGAAGAAGAGGATGAAGGAAGAAACGCTAGAAGTAGATAGAACACACAAGGTCAGCCCTCCCTTGGAATCTTCAATGCTAAAGGAGAAGTGGAAGACCAAAGAACACATTTTGCCGAGAAATGTTAACAGATATGAGAATAATGAACAATAATTGGATAGAACTTTGAAAAGAAGGTCCAGGACAAAGTCGTTTGGAGAGTGCTACATGATCTTAACTTAGTGTTTTGAGAGTCATACTTACTTACTTACTTACTTACGTCAGTTACTTCGTGAACTCGAACTGAGGACCTATCAGTCTTGTTCACAAGGGAGAGAATGGTGTTTATGTTGGTTATTTTCGTAGATTTGTTGAAGTTAGACATTTGGCCAATTCAGTGATCTAGTGGTTAAGCACTCGTTCATGAAATGGATAAGCCCTCAATTTGTTTCTGATGAAATGTGATCATAGATGTACACTGCTAAGAACAATCCAATACTTTCAAACTTTTCTATGATGATCTAGTTTCAATGAACTCATCAATTAATTTAATTACTGATCTCTTTATTTTTTTTTAATTTTTTTTTTTTAAAAAAATTGGTGTGATTGTGTTCATATTGTTACTATAAACAAATAATAAAAGTAAAACCAAGCAACTTATAAAACAATTTTTCCCTTTTTTGTTTCTTTGTGAAAAAGAAAAAAAAATACTTGTATACCTTCTACATATTTTAGATGAATGAAATGAAAGACAATTAATTCTTGAATGTTGTATTCATTCTAAATGTGTATGTGTCTCTGTGTGTGTGTATGTGTTTTTTTTTGGGGGGGGAATGTTTGAAAACAATTGTGTATTACATGTTATTGAGTAATTTGTGTGTGTATGTATGTGTGTGTGTGTCTGTAGTATGTGCGTGTGTGTTTGTTTATTTTTTTATTTTTTGCATGATCACCGATTCTTATATTATACAAAAAAGTTTAAATAGAGGAGATAGATGGATAAAAAATAATCAAATAGTAATATTGAATGGAGAGAGTGTTGGTGGGCGACCCCCATGTTCCTCCACGAGGGGTAACAAATATAAGTTGTCAACAACAAAAAAAATTTTTCCAAAAAAAAAATCGATAACAGATAATTGACAACAATGAAGGAGTTGTTGAAACATCTTTTTCCACCCTTTTTTTTCAAGGTATCTATTACTGTACAATAAAATGAATTTATGTTACCAAGTGAATAGAATAAAAAGGGAGAAAAAAAACAGGAGAAGGTAATCAATCAATTAAAATAAAAAAAAAGCACAATTTACAATGATGTAATATAAACAATTGAATCATTTATAATTTAATTGTAATTTGATCTTCACTACTATCAGATCGTTCAATATTTAATAATGATTGATGAACTGATTGACGTTGTAAATTAGTTGAAAGTAAATATCGATTAGTATTATTATCATCATTATTGGTATTATTATTGGTATTATTATTATTGATTATTTCATGGGAATCCGATTTAACTCTACATATCACTATTGATGGTTGATTAAGATGAATTTTCATTTCACTTTTTGATGATGATGATGTTGTAGATGATAATGATAATGTTGAATGACTAGATTTTCTATCCAACATGGAAGGTTGATAATCCTCATTATGATGATGATGATGATTATTATTGATCGATGAAGATATAAATTTAGATGATTGATGATTAGGAATTACATCAATGTTTTTATGTATATCTATATTAGATGATCTTAATTTGTATTGTTGATCATTTAGATCAGTTGATGATCTAGATTCATTTATTTGTTCATTCATTAAATAATATTTTTGTCCATTTTGATTACTAGGTAAAAAGAATTTTTTCACTACATCCCTTTTTAATGGTGACATTGTAATAGATTTTGAATGAGTTGATTTAAGATCCAATTTATTGATTGATAAATGTAATTGATCATGATCTAATTTATTAGATGTGAATAAATTTCTTACACTAATTGAATGAATCATTTTAATGGAATCCTGTTGAATTGTTGTATAATTACATGATCTAGAACTGGAACGTTGATGATTCGATATAATAGTTGGTGAAGTGATTGATCTAATACGTTTATCTATAATACACATAGAATCTGTTTGATTATTATTATTATTGATCTGATTACAATTTATATTTTCAAATAAAGAAGATTGAGAAGGGAAGAACACATTACGTTTATTTCCTTCAATCGTATTATTTTTACTACAATCAATATTGTGAGTAGTAGTAGGAATAGTATCTACAAAATAACCATTATTACATCCATATGATTGATTATGTAACTCTGAAGTATTATCTGAATTACATATAGAATCTGGTGACATAACAATAGTAGATAAATCCTCGCGTTGATGTTTCATTAATGGTTGAGCAACTAGTACTTCAGGTTCCATTAGTTTACGATAATTTTCCTACAAGTTATAGGAATATAGAAAACAAAGTCATACTGAATATTGGATATAAATTGTTCATATTATGCATAAAGATATATATTATAAGGTGGATTTTCTAGTGTATACTACTTATGTCGATAGATATCAGTAGTATGAGACATCAAACAGATATAAAAAGAAAATTTGGTATCAGAACGTTTTGAAGATCAAATTAAATAGAATGAGAATGTAAACAGAAAGTAATAACCATGAAGGAACGATGAAGTTTGAAACAATTGATGAAAGATTTGTCAACGAACTATTTAGTGTATAGTTGTTACATAGTATGAAACAACTTGATAATTATGCATTGATTGAGATCTTGAACCAATTGATGTTAGACCATCACAATTGGAAACCTGGAAGCACTGGACGGCCGTTTCGTCCTATTGTGGGACTCCTCAGCAGTGCGCATCCACGATCCCGCGAGCGGGACTCGAACCCAGGGCCTTCGGTCTCGCGCGCGAACGCTTAACCAACTGGACCACTGAGCCGGCATCCAATGGTGATAGTTTCTAACATCAACCAATCCACGAAATTGCGCGACCAACTTCCATTGTACCTAAGTAGATAACTGTCTCTACCCGACAAGGATTAGCTCCACTGGTCACGGCTTCTCACTAGAACTCCGAGAATTCCCTCACGAAGCTAGTCACTAGTGAGCACATGTTGATTACTAGTATAGGGGTTGTGGTCTAACATCAATTGGTTCAAGATCTCAATCAAAAACTTAATAATCTCCACAACCCCTATACTAGTAATTATGCATTGAATAATAAGTTGGTTCCCTCTCATTTCAATGTTGGTTCACTTTGGTTTTACATTCGTTAACTAAAAAAAACTTTTGCTCACAGAGTTGGTTTAATATTAGGCAAATCAATAATTATCAGTATGATGTTTGAGTAGATTGTTATTATTATTATTATTATTATTATTATTATTAATGGCTTTATTCAATATTATATTTTGGTACAATATAGAATTCTCAGCACCAGAAGAAGATAAACAAGGAGAAAGATAAGAGTGAAGGGGATGGTTAGTATCTGATAAAATGACACCTGCCAGGAATTTGCATGATTTTAAATGTCTATCCACAACCATATTAATTATGACCTCGAAAGATTCACCACACACCTTACTAACTGCCTTCAGCATTCTTCGCAATACAGCAAAGTCTTTTCTCAAAAGCCCGGGAAAGAATAATGGAGAACAGTAAAGAATAATAGGTAATATGCAAGAATTGACAAATTGTAAGAGTAAATGACGAGTAATTCCAAGAGCATGCAATCTCTTTATGTAGTAGGTCAGACGGCAAACCTTCTTTGATAACAATAAAACATGGGAAGACCAAGAGAGATCAGAGGAAAAGGTGACATCAAGATAATTGACCTTCGACACCGCGTTTATCAAAGAGTCTCCGATGGTACAAGCACTATGGGATCTCAAAATAGTGTTTAGATTCCGTTCATGTCTCATACTAAAGTTAACAGCTTGACATTTAGATGGATTAAGTATGAGTCCATTACCAACAGACCAACAATCAATACGAGACAAAAACTCATTCATTTCTATGGGATGTAAAGAGGAAGATATAGGCATACATACAGTGAGGTCATCCGCATACTTCACAAAAGTGTTTTCTGTGGAAGATGGCAGGTCATGCAGAAAAAAAGAGAATACAAGAGGTGAAAGAACAGCTCCTTGTGGTACACCTTCATAAGTGTTGTTGAGATCATGTAGCAGTTTAAGATAGACAAGTAATGAAAACCTATAAGCACTGAACTACTTGATGGATTTTCCATTTAGTGAACAAGCACAACCTCATTTATTATTATTATTATCTAATAACCGATTATTATCAGTTTTAGTGAGATATTCTCAATCATAAATTTTGGTTTGCAAATCTAGTATCAATATCCTTCTGAAAGTTTGTGTACTACCTTTCTAATTCCACTAATGTAACATAAGTTGGATGAATAATTTTATTCAAAAAAGAAAGACTAATACTAAAGAATTTGCATATATCTCGACGCAACTATTAAATGGTAACTGTTTGGATCTATTTCTGGACTAATATGATACATATTTATTCTTATTGTATATTTATTAGTTAGTTGAACTATTCATATTCGTATTCCTCTTATTATAAGCTTCATTTTGACCTATAGACTATTATTGTACGATTTACCATTCTTGAGTTATGCCCGGTCTATCGATCAGGGCGGCCTGCTTGAGCATCTGGGCTACCTGTTCCTGTCATCTAGATATTTCAACATGTTATCTATTGTTGTTTGTTTTAATATATCACTATGTTTATTAATTGCATAACCTATTCTGCTGCGTTTCTGAAAAGTGTACAACCTTTCGTTGTCAAAGTTACAGAAAACTCAATAAGAGACAATATGGTTGCTGGCAATGTACAACGAAAAGAATGTACATTATTCAGTTGTTCATTCACTGAAGTGCTAACATCTAACTGGCGATTCCTCAATATTTATCGCCAGGACCGACCAAGAAGAAAGAAACGGAAACTTGTTGAAATACTTTGCGCTGAGAATTCTATATTGTACCAAAATTATAATATTGAATAAAGCTAATAATAATAATAATAACAATAATAATAATAATAATAATAATAATAATAATAATATCTCCCACATTCACAGCCACATTTGACTAAATCTTCTACAAATGTTGTTTCCTATTTTATGATACAATATGGTCTGTTTGATTGGTGTATATTAATCCAATATGTTTGAAATATAAGGATTCATATCGTAAAGGCGGAGATTGATGTTCTGGACATAAAAAGCAGGGCTAGGTGGGAAGAAATACTGTTAAAGACTTTAGACTGTTCCTACAGGTTTTATGCATGATTGATCCGGTCGATAACTCATTGTTCTCCAATTGGCGGTATCATTAGGTTAACAGGGCATAAAGCCCACAAGTTATAACAGTATTTCAAGGCAATCATGTTAGATACTAAAAGTAATGATTTGAGTTTTATTATACATCCATTGATGTCATTCAAGTATGTTATGTATTGTGAATGATTTTGTTCTTTATATGAATGAACATCATAGTTGATCACTTGAATGACCTACCAAACATTCTTCATATTAAATCTATGCATAACTTTGGATAAATTCATCTTTGGTATTTTAATATAGGCATTTATTATAATCTATGAAATACTTTAACGACAGACGATAATCTATTTTCAGCCAAATTCATTCGAACAGATTCTAGTCAATGTCAGTGTTACATGTGTTAAGGTTTCATGGAGCATTAGTCCTTTCAAGACCGTAAACATATCTCATTGCCCAGTGCTTCTATGCATCCAGTATTCACGTAATGAGATATGGGAACTTGGATCGATGGAAATATGTTCCTGATCCTACGTTGTAGCTGACTTAGTTTACAGATTTATTGATTAATAATGTAACACTCTTCACGCTAATAAAAATTTGAACTGACTATTCACATTGTCATTATTTACATCTAGTTAATTAAAGAGCCATGTTTGTTTAACTCATTAATGTTAATAGGATCTTATCAATTCATTCATTCTGTGGTTGCTACTCTGAATGATTCGACATCTTATAAACTATGTTGAGATACATAGTGATTGAAAGCAGTAGGTGGTAAATATTACTGAATGTAAGTTAAATACTGGTTGAAACTTGTTATTAGGGCGCACTTGTAATCTTGAGGAAATCGATGCTTTTTATCGGATTGGAGCTTAGGTCGTTCAAAATTTACAGCCTGAGATGTTACCAAAGAGCTATTGCAGCAAGAATTGACTTCTTACAGAATTAAAATATTTGTAATTAATTAATAGTAGAGTAATAACCAATGTTATGTTTGTTTAGTTACTGCTGGTCTCAAGCTCGGGTAAAGGAGAAGGGTTGGACATGGAGTTACTGACACTATCCCGTAGAAAACTAACTCTCTAATCAAAACAACGCTAATCAGAAAAAAATAATCCAAGTAACTTTTCATCTTTAAATATCAGCGTGTAATGAAAAAAAAAACCTGTTGTGTCAGTTTATAGTTTCGATTAGACTGAATTACCTTTGCTGATTCAATTTGTGCAATCCATTCATCACATTTAGATCCAGCAGAAAATATATATAGATTAGCAATATTATGAAAATCATCTAGAATTGCGCAACCAAAAACACCTAGAAGAAATTAAACATAAACGTATAATTAGAGAAGGAAGGAGAACAATGAAATTTTGGATTACTATTTCTAAACGGTAGTGTAGTTTTAAAGAACACTCAGTAATTGATATCGACTGAAAAGATGATCTCAATTAGTGTAGTTATAAAAAGTATGTATATAATATGTATTACCTTTTTGGTGGAGTTTTTTTCTCTGAGTTTGATGATCGTTTGGTCGTGGAGCTTTCATCGTTCTTCTGAACGACATCATCAGCACAAACTTCTATCTGAGAACAAAACTCCACCAAAATCATCCACCTGAGCTACAAATCTTCTCCACCATCTCAATATGTATTACCTATCAGTCATTAATGTGAGTATTTTGCATGAACCTAAGCAAGTCACTACTTAGCGTTATAAGAATTAGGTATACTGTAATTCAAATCTACTACGAAATGTTTTATTTTTATTTGGCTATTCGGTTTACTTATTTAGCGCACTAACTGCACTACTTATAAATATTCAGTAGTTTGAGTATCATAAATGATCTCTGTGATGTTTATGCACCTATTCATAACAATTTACATATCTATTTGTCAGATTGAAATCATGAGTCAGTTGTAGCTAGACCACCATGGAGAACCTAGAAGTACTGGATGGCCGTATGGGACACCCACGATTCGAACCCAGGACCTAGTGGCTCCTCGCGCGAGCACTTAACCATTAGACCACTGAGCCGGCATCCAACGGTGTTAATGTCTAACTTCAACCGATCCACGAAATTGCGCCACTTTATATCATTGTTTTCAGTAAGCTGATATCTCACAACAGACCCAGTTGAACTCCATTGGTAACGGCTTCCCACTAGAACTCCAGGAGTATCTCTTGAAGTCAGTCACTAGTGATTTCAATCTGTGAAATTTCTAAAATCTCCACAAATCCCTTCTGATAATATCTATTTACGTTTTTATTTTAATGTTTTAGTTCGTTTTCTCACTTAAAACTGGAGCCCGAAGACCGCACAATTTAAGGTTTTCCCTTTATTAGTGCTTATGTTTTTATTTGGAATAATACCATCTGTTTAAGTTCTCTGTCCTTATTCACTTCCCTTCAATATTTTTGTATATTGTTTTATACTACTAACTAATATTTAGTAAATATTTTTTGATTGAGATCATGAACCGATTGATGCTAGACCACCAATGAAAACCTGGAAGCACTGGATAGCCGTTTCATCCAGGCTTTTCCATGGTGGTCTAATATCAATCGGTTCATGATCTCAATCAAAAACTTAACAATCTCCACAACTCCTAAACTGATTCAGTAAATAGTATGTGATATACAAACATCGGGGGTTTCTTTCTTCTTCCATTACATTTTTTTTCTTAATTAGCACTTATAACTAGTGTGAACAAAGAAATCATGACTCAATTGAAGTTAGATCACGATGGGAAACCTGGAATCACTAGACAGCCGTTGAGTCCTATTGTGAGACTTCTCAATAGTGAGCAACCACGATACCACCTCGCGAGATTTGAACGCAGGACCTATCAGCTTCGCGCGCGAATGCTTAACCACTAGGCTTTTTATGGTAGTCTAGTTTTAATTAACTCATGATCTCAACCACTGAAAGTATTACAATATCCACAAAAACCCTTCTGATATGAATTTTTCTAATTGTTTGTGCGTTATGGTCTGGTTAGTCATCTATTTATTAATGTATTTTTTTTACACTAATCTGAAATCGGAAACCAGATCGGAATTGGAAATATAATCGTGTAATGTTCCACTCAACTTATCTTCTCTCTCACTCATGTGCTTGTCAGTCAGTCAGGTGATAGAATAGTTTTCGTCTCTCTACCCTAAAGCAGTTGGTCTCACTTTGAACTCAAGCATACTAGCCTAAAAGTTAAACCAGTTAACTTATCGCGTCAAGGTCTTAATCTAGATTCAGACAAGTTATCCTCTGCATAAAAAAGGGGAGACAAATCAAGGACGTTACAATAACCAAATCAGTTTCAAATATACATTTAAATCCCGCGAGGCGGAATTGTGGATGCACACTGCTGAAGAGTTCCACAATAGAACAAAATGGTTGTTTAGTGCTTCCAAGTTTTTCATTGTAGTCTAGCTTTAAGCGATTCATGATCTCAACTATTAAAATTACTATAATATCCACAAAAACCCCTACTGATATACATAAAATAAATAGAAAACTCACCAGTTTCACGACCACGTTGAATAATCAACTTATCTAATCGTATAGGACTTTTTAATAATTTCCAATAATCATTACCATCTTTCTTATGATGCTTAGTGATTAAAAATAAATCAGTCAAAATATGACAAACAGTTTCCACTGACTAGAAATTAAACAAAAAAAAAGAAATAGAGGGAAAAGAAAACTACGAGCTATGAATATGCTTTATGAAAAGAGCAAGAACAAAGATTCTAGCTGAATAGTATGAATTCATTCTATGTCGTTTAGTTCTCATCAGCTGCTTACAACTTGGGATATTTAAACATCATAATTACATAATGGGTTTAAATGACTTACATGAAAGAGTTTGGTTGGAAGTTATATTTAAGACATATTAGTATAGTATAGTAAGGGTGTAAATAAATGGAATAGACTGAATAGTGTAAATATATACCTTATGCGATGAAAGAACATTCTAAAACATTGATTGTGACCTTGAAGGATTCCAAGGTATCGACCTGATGTTGTATATCAAGGAGATGTTTGGTAATTGCACTATTTAGAGTTTTTCTTTCTGTTATTCTGAAGCTTTTTGGATCATGTTGAAAAAAATCTGAGATATGCCCTCATTTCTGTTCGACCAATGTAGCTGCTTTGGCAGGTGCACATAAATTGATAAATACAGTTGGCGGTAACATGAAAGGTGTGCGTGTCAACCTCGGATTGAGTTATTGAACATGTTGTATTATATAGAGAATTAAGAGTTTGGCCGCCGGATAAGTTCTGGATAGCGCAGTATTCAGTCTCGTGTTGATTATGTGTGTGACATCATCACCTTTGAAGTTAAGATTTATAGATAATGGTTTCTTATTGACCGTAATTACTCCCATCTTGTTTTCTTCGGGCTTTTTATATTTGTCGAAAAACCTTTGTGAGTAAAAGTTGTCTGTTAGGGATTTTCCCAAGATCATCAATTCTTCTTTCAAATTGTCGGTGGTATATATCTTTTCTATCCTATAAAATTGTGTTTTAACCGATACCTTCTTGTAGATGATTGAAAAAAAACAACTATTGAAATTCAGGTAAAAGCCATTTCAAGTACTTTTTCGATAAACCGAACGTTGAACTGTCCCATCTCTCATACGTTTTATGGCAACATCAACAAAGTGGAATATGCTATTCTGTTCGTGTTCCATAGTATATATGCATAGTGTCTATTCATCTATACATATGTTTATTCATACTGATGAGTTAATTCATTGTATCAACATGTGAGATCTTGAATGAAGTGATGCTTTCTGTTGGATTCACAGTCCAATCATTCATTTTAACAATTTAAGACTTTACCGTTAAGCTATTGAGACCGTAGTTAACTTCTTGTAGATCTGAGATATTTGCTATAGATTGATCACAGAGTATTGAACATTGTCAATCCATTGTAAATATCTCAATTCTACAAAAGGTCATTCTTGATCTGAATATTTCATTTTGTAAAATCTCAGGCTGTAAAACAAAGTGATCAGAACTTTAAATCCGATAGGGAACATTAGTTCTTTCGACAATACAGATAAACTTTGATGACTATTGTCAGCTAGCAGGAAACCCAAGTCAAGTAGAATTTCTTGTTAATTAACTAAACCTTTTTATTTGTTTATTTTATTTAAACACATAAACATTGATAGAAGGAGGCATCCAATAGATATGTTTGAGGACTGGGATACTGCCCGGGTGCCCGAACCGAAACAGATAGATTTTTAGGGGTCCACTCCTCAAGCCTTTGGCCTTAAGGTCTAATCCGCAAGGCAGTTGAACAAAGTAAGGAGATGTAGTCCCACGGTAGACGGTGACCAACGATTGGTTCATACTCCATTTGTTTCGTCAGTATCATGAAGCCTATGTGGAGCATTGGTTCGGAATCAGAGTTTTCCAACTCCCCTAGGTGGACTCTTCGTATCCACCATTCCGGTCAAAGTGCCGGACATTCGTTTTTCGTCCTCTCAATTTCGTAAACAATAGTAATGCCGCAAAAAGACAGTGAGTAGGACTTCTCTGGAAATGGTTGTATGCACATGGCCATGTGAGAGCATTTGGAGAGGGAAAGCTGTCTCCACACACTCTCAGCCGCAGCAGGGCATTTGGGGGAAACAAAAACTACGTAACATTAAAACATATACACGCAATATCAAGTTATTGCATTTTTGGTTTTGTGCGACCGTTTAACAGGCTCTCCCTCGAATTATCAGCTATATTAAAAGGCTACCATATATCACTGTGGAATGGTTACCCTCCGCTCTGTATTGCAAACGAATGTCAACATTCTGTTCTTTAGAAAATTGTTCGCATCACACTACTATAAGGCTATAGGTTCCATGTGATTTGTGGATTCATGGTTGTGTGTACTATTGCAAAGATTCAAACTAGAATAAAACACTTAAATGGTTAGTATTGAAAAGTAATCTTTTAGAAGAATGTAAGAACCTACTGAACTGAAATGAAGTCATTTATAGGATAGACTAAGAGGAGAATCAGTTCAACTCATTGACCAACTGTAAATGTATATACTCGCCTTTGAGATATTTGTTTAAACAGTAATAATAGCAGTAGATTGTTTAAACTAAAATAATTCAAACTGGCTTTGAATCATTTGTTCCATTAGTTCCAAAGTTAAATGATTACACATTTAAGTCATTTACTAAATAACGGTAATTGTGAGACTTTGTGCGTGCATAAAAACTGCCTGTCATTCCTAGTTGAACTGTCTGTAGAAGTCTTTAATGCCTTCACAAGACAAACAAGAACTATAAAACTAATAAAACAAAGTAAGAATATTTTAATTAATTACTTACACGATTCGGTGGTTCTTTAAATCGTAAATTTCCTCCATATAATACAGTACGTTGAATAGTTCGCCTACAAGAAATATCTGACCAATCATATGCAAAAGAACCGGATAATTCTGTATCAATAGAAAGTGATTTATGTAATCCACTACCTTCAGAGATACGTGATAACATTACCGGAAATGAATTAGATTCATTCATTTGATTAGTTAAACTATAAATTCTTGAACGTTGTTTCAAATATATCGGTGATGTATTATCTGTTGATATTGTTGATGATGTAGACATTGTTTGATTACAATCACCAATACCGGAATCACTACGATTACAACTAATTGTTGTATGATTTGATATAGTACGAGGATCTGATATTGAATTATTAGAAGTGAATAATGATGAACCACTTAAACGTCGATTACGTAAAAATGCTAAAGATTTTGTACATGAAGGTATAGTTTGATGTATGGCATTATAATCATTAAATATAATCACTGGAGTTGGTAATTTGATTGGACTAAGGATTGAAAATTTAAATCTGTTTTGTTTTATTTATCATAAAAGAAAAATAATCACTAGGGTTAGATACTACTTTAAAATGACATAACATAAGTTTTACATTTTATATATGGATTGTGTATTATTTGAAAGGAAAATAAAACACACTTTATGGAGATAAATGCTGACTGGAACACACTTTCTAGATGGATCAAACTCTGATCGAGAGGATTTAGTCAATGGTTATATTGAGGTTTGTTAAGATTTTTGAGTTTTATAGTTTATAAGATGAACTCACAAAAGTTAGAAAACCTTTAAAGACAATAAATCAGTTGTTCTAGTGTGAGACTATACATAAATGAGGATCTACGATCATAATTGGATCTTTAAATCGCATAGTGAGGGGTTAAGCTTTAGACCTCTGAATCGTTAGCTAGAGGTTTATAGTTTTAACTTCAATTAATTCGTAAGATTAAACAACCATCATTCGATGTCATTGTTAGGTAGTCGCTCTTCACCCAGTATAATCGAATCATACTATTCATGGTTTCTCAATTCTGTAATTCCTGAGTTTTAATGGTTGTCCAACTCATTGAAGTCCATGTTTCAAGCTAAGAATTTAATCAACAATTATAGTTACACAAAACAATACAGGTTTCTAATCTGTGATCAAATTAGATGTAGCCAGATGGATTTTATAAGATTTTGATGACTAATTGTTTAATTGTTTTTCATGGAGATACGTGTACCTAAATTTATAGGCAAGGATGGATAGTGGATAGCAGTGGAGTTCAGGACGCGTGTCCCGTCCTGTCTCACAAGGCAAGCCCTCATATAGAATCCTCAAGGCCAAAGGAAAAGAGGAAGACCAAAGAATACATTACGCCGAGAAATGTTAGCAGACATGAGAAGAATGAACAACAACTGGATAGAACTAGAAAGGAAGGCCGAGTACAGAGTGGATAGGAGAATGCTAGTCGGCAGCCTACGCTCCTTTTACCTCTTCCCAGAAATGTTCTACGTCTGTTTCACGAATAGGAAACCGAAAAGCGAAAAATATGAAGACGGGCTTTACTTCTACGGTTAATTCAAATGATTAAAATAAGGATATTTGTAGGTTTGTGTATGACTCTGATACTCTAGAAGTGCCGGGGTACATGCTAAAATTAGTAACAAAGTTGGTGATTATGGAACAGGGATATGACACGTAATCAAACATTACACATAACTCTCTAGTGACTTTATACTAAATCTTGACTGGAAGAAGAACTATCAGTCTTTTCTTAGCTTTTAGAGACTTTTCTGAAGAACTTTTGAAGGCTCTCAATGTCATCACAGTAGAAACCAAGATATATGTTTTGTCTTGTTTGTTAAGATTTACACTAAGACTTGAATTCATTGCTTTTCACATCAAATGATTAAAACATTATCCATCTAGCAACTGGGTTCAGATAAACATTGGATATGAATTTCGTTTAACCTATTTCTTATCTTAAATTTGATCATGAATTCAGTAAGAATTACCAAAATCATACATTAATAAAGTGGTGAGACTACGTGCAATTTGTTAAACTCACGTACATACTTAGTGTGATATTCGCTAATATATAAAATGTATTCTATCTCTAACGTTTGTCCCACCCAAATGTTAGTGATCATATTTATCTATGGGCTTGTATGATTCAGTATTACAGTCAATGAGGTTGTATTTAAATTATTTTAGCCGCCTAAATTAAATGATTATACTGATCGCTAAGTATTCACCAATGTTTCCATTGTCTAACCGTTAACGCTGATCATTTATCATCGATCAAATAACAATGAGGTCATCACGTTGAGTAACTTGAATTTCTGTGATGCTAATTTAATAGCCTATAGCCATCACTTCCAAAATTAGTTTCGGTCTAGATCTAGACCTAGATACAAGCTAAACAATGGTTTAGAAGGCTTTTTGAAAAACTGGTAAACTCAACAATAAATTATAGATTTTTATGGAATAGATAAATTTTGGCTAGGAGTAAAACTCAGTGTGTGCATTCCTTCTGATTTAAGATTTCTTAGTGTTGATTACTTTCTTAGTCTGAAACTAGGACTCAGCTACTTACGGTTCTACAAGAACAGCAGATAGTGATTAAACGCCACAGTATAGATTATCTTGGATCAATGCATGTACATAACTATTGAAATCATTTCGTTCGGGAAAACAAAATATCAGACAGAGGAAATACAAAGAAAGTTAGAGAGTTTTTAAAAGCATGGCACCCTGATAAAGCATCAACCAATAAATATTTAGGGATTGACCTGATCTACCAACTAATAGGGAAAGGGATCACTAATTCGATGATTTGAGATCAGCTTAGAAATTAAATCAATCAAAGTAAACATAAAAACACCGGCCACATACCTATGGAAAACAACCAACCAAATCTAAGGTCAAAAAAGTAAACTACTAGTCGATTGTGAAGAAATCTTAATAACTCACTTCTTACGGATATGTGTGCTGATGATTTTATTGAAAAAGACAATGAAAGCTTTACAAATAAAGTATCTAGCTCAGTGACCAAAATAACCTCAAAATCATCATCTTCAGCTACAAATATTTTACACTATTTTGTTTCAAGTACCCGATATCTTATTCACTGATCTCTTGTGTTCAGATGATCACTGCCTTGTGTAATGATTGTAAGGGATGCTCATTAAAATAGTGGAGAAGATTTGTAGCTCAGGTGGATGATTTAGATGGATTTTTGTTATTTGAGCTGGATGGTTTGATCGTGAAGCTTTCATCGTTCTTCTGAACAACACCATCAGCACAAACGTCAGATAGAAGTCTACTTTGAATAGTTAAATCTTAACTTGAATATTTCTTAGCTTTTGTATAATTTCCGGCTGATAATTATAGACTTGGAAGTAAATGTTCTGTTGCATTTCCACTTACTTTGTTTAAGATTTGATGGCAATAGTGGGTTGATAGGACCATAGTAACCGGTTAGCAAGTTAATACAGTCGAACTTCAGTAATGTAACAGGCTAAAACAGCTTCATTTTTATTATTTAGCCAGTGAAGAAAGCATAACAATCAACCAAGCCACCGTCTGTTGCCACACTTTCAATTTTCAATCACGCTTACTTTGAAGTCATAAAATACATTCAATACAATATCTTATTATTCTAAGCAATCAGTATGATCATGTACAGTAAAGCAAAAACAATCCACAAAATTTCATGATTTCATTAAAATTCGCTGATCTTTACAACCTCTTAGTGAAAATCATCATATGATTGCTATTGGCTAGCAGTTACACACAGAAGACAATGGAAGATAGTTGCACAATGTCGTAGATTGATTAAGGTTAGACATTAACACCATTGAATGCTTGCTTAGTAGTCTAGAGATTAAGCGTCCTCAGGCAAGACCAAAAGTTTTGAGTTTGGTTCACACTCTCAGAGTCATGTTTGTGCACTGTTAGGAAGTTCTATACAATTACGAAACGATTGTTCAGTACTTTTTAGTTATCAATGTTGGTTCAACATTCCTCAGTTTATCATTTCAATGAAATTCAATTATCTTCATGACCCCTTTTACAGACAATAATAAACATTATAATACTATACTCTTACCTTGTATAATCACTAATCAATTGTGTATAATCATCAATATTATTGTCTAAAAAATCACAACATATTAATTTTGATGCCAACATTTCTAAACTTTCCCATGTTTTCGTTTCAGTCATCATTTGTTGATTAATTTCCTCAATGAAATCACTGATTGACTTGTACTGTATATTTTGAAAGAAAAAAACAAACAAAAGATTAATGGAAATGAATAAAGTTGGAAGTAGATAGTAATAATATAATTAGTAATAATTATCAGTATAATAAGAAGGTAAACTTGATATGAAAAAGCGAATCTGTGAACAAGATCATATTTATTCGAGCTTTTTAGTTGCTATATGATCACTGATCTAAATGATTCATGATCAAGTATACTGCGGTATACTGAGCGGCAGTCCGTTCTGTTTTAATTTACGGCAGTGAAACATGGCCATTAAGAGTAGAAGACACTCGTAAGCTACTAGTATTTGACCACAGATGCCTTAGAAATATTGCTGGCGTTTGCTGGGATCACCGGGTAAGTAATAGTGAGGTTAGACCCAGGGTATTAGGGAATGATGGTAAATCAGTTGATGAGGTTATGAATCTTCATCGACTGAGATGGTTGGTCCACGTGTTACGTATGCCTGAATACCGATTACCACAACGTGCAATGCTATCCTGTATTGGAGATGGTTGGAAGAAAGTTAGGGGTGGCCAAACCAAAACGTGGCATCAGTGCTTGAAGTCACTAACTTCTAGTCTGAGCCATGTTGGTAGATGCAGACTACTTGGTTGGGGTCCGCGTGACTATCGTAGCCAATGATTGGAGACTCTTGGTGACATGGCTCAGAATCGATCACAATGGCGTCGGTCTATACACTCCCTGTCTTCCCTTAAACTAAGAGATTAAAATCGCTTCATATTTTTCTTTCTACGAACCAATTTTTTCTGCTTGTACTATATCTCTATATGCAATCTTTCTCTTACATATTACTACCTTTGACCTAACCACTGCTATGAATCCGGTGTTCATCTTGTTGTGCTGATGCGGTATGGCAACCTGGACCGATGCACATATGTGCCTGGTCCTACGTTGTAGCTGACTGACTGACTGATACTGCGGTGAATTGTTAGGTGATAATTCGAGGTAATTGACAATATATCCTGTTTGATTTAGGTTTTATGTTGGTTGAAATTCACCAGTATCTTCAATCTTGAGAGAGAACTAAAGCATCCTACAGTTTGATAGATAGTATTCGGATGAACACCAAGGACTAATCAAAGATTATTTCGATTAACAATCAGCTATCAATCCATATTAAATATCTCAGTCTTACAGGAGTTCGGTACTGATCGAAATGGTGCAGTGGTGACGTTTCTGACGGTGAATTTGGATAACACGAGTTTTAGTCTTATAGGAAACATTACTCATTCAAGAATGAGGATGTTTTGTTGACGAATATGAACTTGCATGATTGCTAAGTCAAATATCGTTTTCTGCTGACTATCTCTTAAAATCTGGCAAAACAAACAAGCGATTCAATAAACAGTTTCGGTATCCTATTCAAACACTCATAATAATAAAGAATATAATTTGATGCTTAAAAACTGATGTAAAAGTCAAACAACATCTAAACCTCTTCTTAGTCCTTTTACATTAGTAGTCTATTGAAGAATAGGGGATGGAAACGTTGAGATTAATGATCACATATATAACATTAAAGTAAAGTGTATATATGAATGTTGAATATCAAGAGAATGATGGAAATTGAATTCTTAAAATCTGAGTTTTCAGATTGTTTAGAAGGATTTATTTGATCGGGCTTCTCGGGTTGCTTCTCGAGTTGGCAGTTGATTGATAACCTTTTCAAAGATAAATTGTAGCTTTAAGTCATTTGGATACATATGTAACAGCATGTTCTCAATTGTAAGTCAGATTTATAATTGAGCTAATGGTTTCACTCTTTCTAATCCCGTCTTCAGTTATTAACTTACGTAGATGTCAAAAAAAGAATACAGACCAGTCAACAGTTGAATTTGGGATTTTTCATCAATTCTAGTCAGGTCAAAGAACACATTACGTTGGGAAATAGAATCAGATATGAAAAGAATGAACGACAACTGGAAAAAGCTGGAAAAGTGTGGTGGCCGGTATCCGATATAATCCTTAAACTTCTTATACAGCTCGTCTTGATAACCGTTCTATATAACGCCGCAGCGGTATATTAATCAGAAGGCAAATACGAAGTGTTGATTACGTTTAATGCGAGACCACACATATATCCAAATGTACAGATGCGTTAAACAAGCATAGAAGAGTTGTGCCGAAAGGCAAGCAAGCGAGCGAGAGCCATAGCAAGAGCAAGACGAGAGTGTGTGAGTGAGTGAGTGAGTGTTGAATATGAATAACATGGACATATATATACCATGTGAAATGGATGAGTAATCGAATCAAATAAGCAGTTAGTAGTAAGACTAGCAGAGTGAATAAATGAGTAGGCCGTAAGCAATATTCAAGCATACGTATTTCATAAAACCACAAAATAATAAGGGTACAATAAATTGTTATAGTGCGGATGACTTTGTCCGCTAAATGAGTTAGCAAAAGGGCTTAACTGCCTTAGATGAGACTAAACTCATTTGCACGTGAGTCGCTATAAAGGATTGCTCAGGACAGGGTTGGATAGAGAATCCTGGTGGGCGGCCTATACCCCTCCACAAGGAGTAACAGGTGTAAGTAAGTAAGTAAGTATCTTCACCAAAATGATCAGCCTAAATGTAGTATACATTTCATGCAATTATGTTTCCTTTATGAATCTGAATAAGGCCAAAACAACAATTAAAGCAGAATAGTATAATTTCATTTTATTTTGTGATTTCTATCCAGCTGCTTACAATCATTGATGTATATGAAAATGTAATATTAAGCTAAGATATAATGTCGAACAATTGACGGTGATCACGGAGAGCCATGAGGTCATTTGAAGATGGAATTTTAAAAAAAGAGGAGGATGAGGTAATAATGGAATGAACTCCGGAAATAGGTAAGATAGATTGTGTGATCATTATAGAAGTTGTGAAGAGCTTACAAATGCATCAAATTACTTGAAACTAGTAATAGAATTAGAAATTGAAAGGTTACATAATTATTATACAAAATTTGAAGAGTTTACTGACAAAAATAATAATTTCAAGTGATATTTCTGTGTGTGCTACTTATATGGACATAAGTAGTATATGATGTTAGTCGTAGGCAGACGGTCTGGAAGCAGAGAGACAAGATGAGTCATTTCGAGGCAATTGATGGACATTTTTCAAATTAAGCATTTACTTTATGATTGTTAGATTTTATTAACAAGTCCTGTAATTTTGAGTTGAATACGTTCGATTGTCCCCACCCGTGTTCTATTCACTGCAATAGTAGTCAAAGCTGTAAATTTTCGAGTTAAGTTGGTTACTGTCCCTTTCTAGATACATAAGTCAGGTTTTAGTTACTTTGTTGTTACTGAGTCGGCAAACCGAAGAGGAGCTGAGTCTTTTGTCGATTAGCAATTCTGAAGGATTGTAGAATATTAGTGGTATGCCTAGTGTCAATTGAATACCGAGAGCCGTTGTGCCTTTCAGCATCAAATTCTTTGGTGGATGCTCAAAAATTCGAACCTGAACTCTTCCCCCTATTTTTTCAATGCATGTAAAGTGGTAAATAAATTTGGAGGTAGTGAGAAAAGGGAACTTGTCAATTTTATTTGCATGAGTGAGCAGTTCGTTTCGTATAACATCGTCGGTTATTCTGCTAGACAAAGGTTTTTTTATCGCGGCATTTATCCTGTGGCTAATCGTTTCAGTAATTTCATCTCATTTGAAGGGGGGATAAAAAAGAACAGGTTTTTTTATCTGTTTCGTTTTGAACATGTACATTGGGTTTGGCATACCTCTCGACCGATTTTGATGGGTATGCATTTTCACGTAGACAGGTTGTAATAACGACAAGTTCCTCTTCCAGGCTTTCTTTTGAGCAAACTTTATGAACTCACAAAAAAAAGTACATACATTCCCCTTTTTATAACTTATTGAATAGAAGCTGTTGTGGTTTAGATAAATTCCATTCCATGTATTTTTGCAGTGAATGTGTCTTTATAGTGTGGCATTTGAAGTTTGTTTGATCCCAACATCTAAGGAATGGGTTTTACTTTCTATTTCATGTTCCTACAACATTGTCTTTTTTACTTGAATAATGACTGGTAAAGTTGAATTGGAAGAAAGTTAGGAATGTGCTATGTTTGAAGCGATGATGAGTTCACCTAGTCTGAGAACGGAACAAAGACTCTGTGACCAAAAACCAATAAGCTAGTTATTCAGATGCATCCCAGCCCAGCTAACTACAGAAAGAAGTTCATGTTCGAAACGGGGAAATATATTCCGCAAGCAACCAGAAGCACGAGCAATCCCGACAAACACAAATCAAACGTATATATATACAGCATAAATTTGTCATTGGAAAGCGTTACAAAATGGCATAGTAAAAGATACAACCGACCAATAGCGTTTAAGATCGTTCCAAGTGGGAAATATCATATGAAGGTGAAAATGAGCGCTTTTGGCGCGAATACAAGAAATTCAAAATTTTAAGACAAAATGAAAAAAATAAGATATTCAACAAGTGAGTTCTGATGATCTAACATCTCCAACAGAATGAATGAATTATTACATGACATCAATCCATTAAACCATTCACTGTTTGGTTGATCTTTGTCAGGAGATGAAGTCTTCTCAGAAACGGTTTACATGATAATCACATCATCAACATTTGGAGATGGTGATCAAAACAATCACATTAGTGTATATACGTTGATTCTCTTTCCTCTCATAAAATCTTAAGTTTCAATATTATTTTATCTATTCATTCATTTGAGTTGTAGTCTGTATGTTCGATCTAGTTCATAATCATCGACCATTTACTCTAGATCTTTCGTTCTTTTGAGTGAATGATAGAATCAGTCAAGTTTAATCGGCTTCTCTAGATGAGATGTTACAATAGATCATTGAAAAATTGATCTTATTGTATTATAGTAAGTAATATAGAGAAATTTCGAACAAATATCATTAAAGTGATGTAATACAATAGAAATTATTTCTACATAACCCTGTTAGAATGAATATAGCTTGAAGTGAATACACATGTGTACACTTACCATTTCATTGACTTCTTGTTCTTCAGTAGAATTACAACAATTTTTTCGTATTGATTCCATTAATAAACGATATTGAGTTAGTCGTGTAGTTGGTTTTGTTAATTGATCCCATAATGGTTCACGATGATCATGACCTTGTTGATCAGCCCACTTAAAGTAAATCAATAAATAATCATCATAATAATTATTGAATAAATGAAACAATATATTGGATGGTATACCTGAAGTGTAATAATTCTCTGGAGATAATAAGTAATTAATGTATAGGTCTAATTAAAATGAAAATGACCCACAATTTATTATCTTATACCATAAGAAACTCAATTAAATTGTATAGGTTTTATATGATGGAATGGATTCTGAACTCAAGTAGGTGCTATTTGATGTGTTGGGTTCTCTAAGCTGAATGATTTAATAGTTGAGCTTTCATTATCATTTAGGAAGACGAGATGTCAGAAAAAAAAGTTAGTTCATATTATAAAAAAGTCATCATGTTGATATGTGGTTGTGAAAGAAATACATGACTGGTCAGTGAGCATGGACAAACAGGGACTTATTTTGGTGGAGTTTTGTTCTCTGAGCAGATAGAAGTTTGTGCTGATGATGTCGTTCAGAAGAACGATGAAAGCTCCACGACCAAACCATCCAGCTCAGAGAACAAAACTCCATCAAAATCATCCACCTGAGCTACAAATCTTCTCCACCATCTCAAACACAGGGACTTAGCCTATTGACTATTAAGTATGTAATCTTTTTTCTTCTCATTAATTTTCACTTTGGACTAGCTGAGTGTGATAGCTTGCAACTGTTTTGAATAAAGTATTATCTAGTGTTAACCTGGTTCTCTATTCTGGGTTGTCAATCCTAGATCTGATATAACGTGAATAGTCTTATTATTAAGGTATACTTGAGAGTGAGAAAAATATTTTTAACCTTCATATATGATACGTGATTAATACTTTGGAAGAATCTATGATCAAAAACCTGTAGCCCACACATGTATTTTACTTTTATAGACCTTGATTCACTGCCATAGAGTAATATACGGTGAAATTTCATGCTGTATATATACCCTTTGTTTACTAGATGAACATCTTGCCTACACCATGAGTTAACCAAGTTAGTATAAGTCAAGTGAACTTTGTAAATCTATAATTTCATCAGAAACTAATCAACCAGGATTGATAGGACTTCCAAGTTAAGTGGATTGGCCAACTCATTCCACTACTACACTTCCTATAATCAGCCTGGGCGAAGATAAAGATCATATCTAAAACAATATTATACATTTAAAAGAACAAAAACACATCCTAAATATGATTGTATTGTAAATCAAAGTGTTTGGGAGACTGTTTATTGTAGTTGGATTTCCACCAAACAAGGTAAAGTCATTTGTATGTTAAGTTAGAAAGTCGGTATCAATCAATGTAACCGAAAATACAGTTGTGTTATTGTTGAGATTGACAATTCATAATCACTGTTTTTTCTAAACTACTCAAATGTAAAACGTTTTATGATTGACAAATATCTTTAACTCATGATGAAAACAACGATTATATCAATATCCTTTAAGGTTAACTTCAAAAATTGAAGAACATATAGTTTGCACACATTATTTATCAGAAATAAGTAACCGGTAATGAGATTAAAAGTTTATTATGGTCAACATATAACAGACAGATTAACTGCTTGAAAAAATCGATTGCAAGAAGTATTCTTTAATATTTAAATATTAGATAGCACCTAGCGATTACATCTAACTGCCGATCTCAAGCCTGGATAAAAGAGGAGGGTTGGGCATAGGGTTAACGACTCCATCATATAGAAAACTTACTCGCTGAAAAGAAGCTAACCAGAAAAAATAATTCAAAACGTTAGCGGTTACATCTAAGATGTTTATTTTTTTTTTTAATAATGATTAGAATTCATTAGTGTTGAATATACTTGAACCAATAGTGGTAATGTTTATACACAACGCTTCATACATCATTGTATCATCTATTCATTTATTTACTAGATTTCATTACTGACCGTTGTAGAAAACGTTTATCAACCTGTAGTGGTGGAACATATTAAAGCTTCATTTTTAGAAGTCCAATGTATTGATTGTCAACAGTTAGGAAATTCAAACATTTGTAATGATTGCCATACATACAATTACAATATACTTTTAAGAATATTACTATGAAGTTGTCTTTTTCGTACACAGAAAGTTTGTAAATTCGTCCTCAACTAGATACTATTTTGATACGTTTTATGTACTATTAGTTACAAACTGAACTCATTCACGGTTCCATCGACGATCAGTAAACACAGAACATCTGTTTTGTTCTAGTATGTAACTCTACGAAGATTTACACCTGAAACTTGATCTGCGACCATAATTAAGATTTTCAGGTCCTATACTAGGAGGAATTAACTGTTGAGTGCCCCTTTCTTTTCAATGGTACCCTAACTGAAATCAATCTGTAGCAAATATTACCTAAACATTACACAGCTTTCAAAGGAATTCTTCAAATAAATGAATTCGATAAATCGAATACGACGAATATTAGGATAAAAACGAATAGCATCATTTTTATTAGATTTACCTCAAGAAATATACAAAAGTTTGTACTTTGTCTAACAGCTTCTTGTGTATATGATCGACAACGAGATAGATTCACATAGTATTGTTTGTAAACACTAAGTAAATCAGGAATCTAGAATGAAGGACAGATTTGTACAATGAATTTTATGCATAACATGTTGATGTTTTTTAAAAAGGAATAAATAAGAAAATAAACACTAATACACCTTATACTCTGAATAGGTTTAAATTCTTGCATTTTCCAGAACCTAAGAATTGGATCTACTATTAGAAAGTAGAATGTGCGTTTCATTTGAGCTGAATGTACCAACTCAAACCCAATACCTGTCACTTCAGTTGTAATATGTGCTACTTTTACGTACAGATATAAGTAGTATGTATCAGGAGTCGAAAATAAAATCCTTACAGACAGAAGAGGAAAATGAGGAGAAGAGAAAAAACAAAAACTGTCGGAGTAACAAAAGAAATGAAAGAATGAGGGCTGTGCAAGAGATAATTCAAGGATGTTGTAAAAATGTTGTATTCAGTGTATTGTCCTCATATTTCATCAATGCAGTGCGTGATTTTCTGTAATTCAGTAAATTGATTTGCGTACCCAAGTGTCCATGTGTTACGCAGTCACCGACGTATTATCCATCAAGTTAATAAGTACGTTTTGTCATAAAATTGTTTAGTGTGTCTAATGTTTATAGTATGATTGGTAAGGATACCTGCTATCTGACACGCATTGTATAGGATCTACATATATGCCAATCAAGACTGCATGAATTTCAACTTTGAATATCAACAACGGGATGTTACATAGGGTTACTTATTGTCTCTTTATTCATACCTAATAATTAATAATATGTGACTTTTTATCAGTGTTTTTCTGATTTTCTTACAAGATATATTATAATCTGTCAACCGCTGAACTACTCGTTTCACTCCATTTACAAATAGTCTGTAGGTTATAGTATTATTGCATAATACGACCATTTTATTGCTATAATATTCGTATTGTGAAACATCATAGAAGTGTAAGACGATGATGACAAACTAATTGAAACGAAGTTATTCTTCTCTGATTTCGATCTAACCTGAGGTTATAGATGCTCGTTGCTGATAAGTCGTATACCATGAAGAAACAGATGTTCATCATCTTTTAGCCTACGCAATGATCGCGAACAGTAGTGCGTAATGAAAACAAGAGAGATGGAAAAGTCAGAGGAAATAGGCAACAGAAGATAACTGTTCAAACTTATCAAGGAAACCGGCATTAGGAACCCAAGTGTTAGCAAAACTATCTCTGAAAAAGATGGACATATTATTCATTCTCAATCTAGGACATTGGATCAATGAGCAGAACACTTTAGGGATCACTTCAACTGGCCGATGGTTAGAGACTTTGAATGACATGGCTCAAAATCGTTTGCGATGGCGCAAGTGCATCCACTCTTTGCGTTCTCCCGAATTCTAACCTTCTGAATCATTTATATCCCTTCTTTCCTCTTTCCAAATTTATTTCACTGGATTATAGTCCTTGAATAACATCTTCAAACCCTAATATTTCCGATTACTGCTTATACTTTTACTACCTCTACCACAATGGGATTTGAATCGACAACTGCATTTCTGTGCTAATGTAATATGGCAACTCGAACTGATGCACGTACGTACGAAGTTCTACGTTGTTGATGACTGAGTGACTAACTATGCTAAAAACCAGTAATTCTGGCTTCAGAATATGAAAAAATGAAGTAAACTATGAAATTAGATTAAGTAAACATCCTCATCATCATTATACCATCATTAATAACCATTAATCATTTCATTCATTTATAACATTCACATTCTAAAGAATAATATGTATTTTCACAGGTTGAAATCATGAGTCAGTTGAAGCTAGACCACCATTGAAAACTTGGAAGCACTGGACGGCCATTTCGTCCTAGTATGGGACTCCTCAGCAGCGCGCATCCACGAACCCGCCCCCTGCGGGATTCGAACCCAGGACCTACTGGCTTCGCGCGCGAGCACTTAACCATCGAACACCAATGTCTTCAGTGAGCTGATATCTCACAACAGACCTGGTTGAACTCCACTGGTGACGGCTTCTCACTAGAACTCACTAGAACTTCAACTGACTCATGATTTCAACCTGTGAAATTTACTAAAATCTCCACAAAACTCATTCTGATAATAATATGTATCCTTGAAATAACAATAAAAATCATGATCAAATAATCAAATTGGTTTTCTGATTGTTTTCGGCATCAGTTCATCAGTATATTTACATATTTTGTTTATGTCATTGAGTATTCCTTTGTGTTTTTGATGTGTATAGACGTTTGTGTATGTGTGTGTGCCTGTATTAAATTACTGGAATTCTCGATCTTTTTTGCTTCTTTTTATGGTTGAACACGGACACACAAACATATCGATGGTGAAAGCTAAAATGTATAAGTGTGTAACAATGTAAAAGTTAGTGTATTTTAATTATTTAGTTGTCACCACCATCACCATCACTACCATTAACATGTGCACATGAATGAGGGAATCTCTATATTAGTGATGGTATGTAAAACATGAAAACAGTTGATTATAATAATACAATAGTAATTCAATGCTAATTAACAGAAAACTGACTCTACATAGCTTATTCCTGGCATTTAGATGCCATCATTATACGTTACATTTACAGCGTAACTCAAATTCAATTACAAGACAGAGTATCTGGCAGATGTAGTTAGTACCAAAAAAGTCGTCGGTAAAGGTATTTTCTAAATAACAATAAAGTTAATCACCAAAGTACAGTGGAACATGGTGGAGAAGATTTGTAGCTCAGGTGGATGATTTTGATGGAGTTTTGTTCTCTGAGAACAAAACTCCATCAAAATCATCCACCTGAGCTACAAATCTTCTCCACCATCTCAAAATCATATGAGCGTTATACGCTTCTCGTTGTTCGAAAATGGGAGAATTTCGCCAAAAGGCGGGCTTCCACTCGAGAACAACTATATTTTCTCCATGAGTGTCTTCGCCAGCATGTTCTACCAACAAGTGTAAGATATAGACCTCCAATCAACTGCCCACTAGGATGGAGAATAGCTGAGCAAAGTGGAAGAAAAATGGTACACCTAATGATAACGGATGCACACTACAGGATCCGCAAATACCAGCACGTTATAGAAGACCAAAAGATAAAGCTACAAAGGATGCTCACATCAGAACATTTAGACATCGTGACAACAGCCATCGAGATATCATGCAAACGACATAGAGAACAAAGAAGAAACACCTTAAAGAAAAAACTAATCAAGATCTCCAAACCACCCATGGAAGAAAACACAAACAACTGCGTGATCAATCTGTCAATACAGTGGAACATATCAGAAATAAGATATAGTTACATCCAGATAACTAGTTATTAACAAATAAACAGTGATGAAATGATGGGGTCAATAGTGAAACTATTAAACGTAGGATTGTTAATTAATTAACAGATGCCTAAACTATTGTATTTTTATATTCTCCTATTTCTAAGCTTTCGTTTAATCTATAAATTGTTACCATTCATTTAACTAATATGGATTTCAACAGTTGAGATAATGAGTCAATTGAAGCTAGACCACCATGGAAAACCTGGAAGCAGTGGATGGCTATTTCGTCCTATTGTGGGGCTCCTCAGTAGTGCGTATCCATGATCCTGCCTGGCGGGATTCAAACCGAGGGTCTTCAGTCTCGCGCACGAACGCTTAACCTCTAAACCACTGATCCAGCCTGCATCCAACGGTGTCAATGCCTAACCTCAATCAATCCACGATATAAAGGATTTATTTGTTTGTTCTTTTACTTCACTTACGTGTGTTATTGCACTTTTAAAGATGATCGGTGTAAATGCATCTCCATTACGACGAATTTCTTTCAATGGTCCAATTAAATATTGTAGCCAAAGTTTAATATTTGCTTTGAATATTTCTTCAATATTACCAAAAATCCATCCAATATCTAAGTTCTCAAATAAATATTCACGTATTTCCAAAAATGGAGATAAATAATACTAAAATGAGAAATGTGAAGCAAAAATTACAATGATTAAAAGGAGAAGACACTACTGTTACAGTGATTATAAACATTGATTTATAGTTGAAATTACAAACTGAAAACTAGGAAGCACTGGATAGTTGTTGTTGAATCATATTGTAAGACTGATCAGAAGTGCATCCACGATATCGATGAGGATCGAATCTAGATCATTCACATTTGTCGATGAGCGGTCCAACCTTTAAATCATTAAACTAGGATCTATCAGTTTATATTTCTAATTTCAGTCAATACGTGATAATGTTCAAATACGTGTACTACAAAAAGTTTACAATCTTTACAAACAGCTTACACGTATGTTAATTTGTGTAGTTATACAAAGATGTTTAAATGTGACAAAGTGAATCTTAATAGAGATTAGTTTTATAATTCAATCGATAGCACTTACAAAATGTAATATCATGGTTTCTAGTTGAATTAACAGTTGTTTACGCAAAATACTTCAGATCCATTGGCCGGACACTATTAGCAACAACGTACTGTGGGAGAGAACAAACCAGATCCCAGTGGAGGAAGAAGCGCTGGAAGTGGATAGGACACACATTGAGGAAAGCACCCAACTGCGTCACAAGACAGGCCCTCACATGGAATCCTCAAGGCCAAAGGAGAAGAGGAAGACCAAAGAACACATTACGCCGAGAAATGGAGATAGACATGAGAAAAATGAACAAGAATTGGATGGAACTAGAAAAGAAGGCCCATGACAGAGTGGGTTGGAGAATGCTGGTCAGCGGCCTATGCTCCATTGGGAGTAACAGGCGTAAGTAAGTAAGTAAGTAAGTTGAATTGCATGTCGAAGTCGAAGTTTAATTTATCATTACCATGTATTACATTCTCACTATTAATACATAACAAAGAGAATTAATATCATCATTATCTTATATTATCACTGAGTCACAGAATATTAGAAGACAAAACCTAGGCGACTGACTGCTGAGAATTAATAGTAAGGAAAAGGATCACTCTTTCTATACTATTTTAGTCAACCTTAAAATATGATATAAAGTAATTGAACGATATGGTTCGACAACAGAATAGTGTTGTGGATGCGCAGGAATAGACCAATAATTATCATGTTAAGTCCAATGGCGTCCTTGGACTTTAAATGGAATTTCCTATTGGTCGATATCCGTTCACTTGTACAAAATGTTGTTTCTATTTTTATGGTACGCTGTGGTATGCTTGACTGGTATATAAACAAAGTATGTTTGAAATATAGTGATTCGTATCTCAGAGGTTGTGACTTGTCTTCTGGACTCAACTAACTGGGCTAGACAGGGAAGTGGGACCAATCGAGACTCTAGGCCGTCCGTACGTGTTTGCGTGTCATTGTAATCGATCGATAACACAGGGTAGAAATCTACATCAATTTAAAGTCATAACAAATAGATTATCTAATAAGATTATTCCAATCAAGGAACAGAATGAATCAAAATATGAAAGAGATGAATTTTTAACTCACTGATTAATGACCTAAAATATTGATTTCTAATCCAGACACTTTCTATCAATAGTTGTCAAACGTGATCAGAAGAAATCTTTATTTGATTTAGGCTAATTGTTCTTTACACGTTGTCAACTACAATTATCTACAGTCTTCAGGAGACTGGTTCTTTTCATGGAATTTAAAGTCGTGCAGTAATGAATGTGATATTTAAATTTACTTGGTGTTGTTTTACTTGTATCTTCCTATTGTAGTTTAGGATTGCAGTTGATCAGACTCTTGTACAATAGGACGAAACAAACATCCTGGATTCCACTGCTAGCCACTATCCATCTTTGCTTAGAATGTGATATTTGTCTAATATTTAGTATTGACCAATGTAGATATGTAGTTACTATCATAATTTATTCACATAGTGCTTTAAAACAGGTTCCTGTGACGTATATCTGCCAAATGATTTTTTTTCAAACTATCGTAAAACTGTCTCAATAACTTAAATATTTTCATCATAGTTAAATATCCTACTGTTCACAATGGAATATTAACATTGCAAATTGGTAACTCTTTAAATGATGTATTATGTTTCTATTCAACTGTTAAATAGTATTGGTGTAAGTAAGTATCAACAATATGATCAGCAAAAAGTTTGCTCCATATGCAAAGTATATACTCCCGAAATTACTAACTACCTGTCAGTCTCTTGAATTGAAGAACGTCTATAACTGATATCGTTTGTAATGAAAGAAATACTCCTAATTTCAGTTGAATGATTTACTCTTGAAGTCATTTACACATAGCCTAAAGTTACAAAGGTTTCCTAGTGTAACTAGAAACACAGTTGTTACACACTAAAACATTCCAAAAATATCAGTATAGGGTTGTAGAGATTACCAAGTTTTTGATTGAGATCATCAACCGATTGATATTAGACCACCATTGAAAACCTGGAATCACTAGAGAGCCTTCAATCTCGCGAGCGAGACAAGGCGTCCCACAATAGGACGAATTGGCTTTCCAGTGCTTCCAGGTTTTTAATGGTGGTCTAACATTAATTGGCTCATGATCTCAATCAAAATTCCAAAAATAATTAACAAAAAAGAATATAAGTTTGACTTCAGTTTGTAAAGGGTATCGCGATGAAAAGATTTCAGGCCTAAATAGTTTGATACGGAAGGAAATTTAAGTAGAACTGTCATAAAGTTGTTTCCTCTATTACGTAACTTTATTGATGTTCACACAAACATTTGATCTTGATGTGATCGCATTTTATCATTCAGATTGCAATGTGGCTATTGGTCTAAGTAGCTTGACACCTAAAATTTACTGTGATGTTAATCAGTTGGAAGTAGTCAAGTTGAAACTGTGGATTAAAGTTTCAAACTAGTTGGCAAGCGTCAGTGATGCGTGTTAGAAATTTCGGTTTGGCAATCTCAAACTGAATGTCGCCTAACTTGGTTTAGGCAGCTGATTAGGATCACTTATCTCCGCACATGTAAAATGTAGCTCAAAGCTGGGTACACAGATCTATAATTACCAAATGCATTACATTATCATTATTTATTAACCATCCCGTGAGTGAGAATTTGACTTTATCAATAGAATCCAATTATCCTTGAGAGTGAAAAAATATAATTCTATCCAGCACTCAGTAATCAAATAATTGTAAATATCTTAATCCTTTAGGAGGTCAGTCATAGTTCGAAAAGCTCATTGGTGAAGTCTAATACCGTAAATCTAACTGGTGTTATTTGAATGGCACAAGCAACATAAGTTCCTTGAGAGTTATACTGGTACATATTGGTTGCTATGTTTAAGTACAAAAACTACTGATCACTTTTATAGGAATCACATGGTAAATTTGCTATCATTCAAGCACTATTAATTTTCAACAGTTGAGATCATGAGCCAATTGAAGCTAGACCACCATGGAAAACCTGGAAGCACTGGACGGCCGTTTCGTCCTATTGTAGGACACCTCAGCAGTGCGCATCCACGACCCTACCTCGCGGGATCCGGACCCAGGACCTATCAGTTTCACGCCAGGCGCTGGGTTCGAATCCCGCGAGGCGAGGTCGTGGATGCGCACCGTTGAGGTGTCCTACAATAGGACGAAACAGCCGTCCAGTGCTTCCAGGTTTTCCATGGTGGTCTAGCTTCAATTGACTCATGATCTGAACTGTTGAAATTACTACAATCTCCACAAAACCCCTTCTGATACTAATAATTTTATTAAAATAATGATTACGGCCGACGACTCCCAAATAGGACGAAACGCGCGTCGTGGATTCCACTGCTAGCCACTATCCATCTTTCGCTTATATTACAACAATTATGCTTACAATTTTTATTAAGTATACTTTTCAAAAAATGAGTAGACGCTTCAAGTGTTAAACAGACTAACACACAAACACTAATACATACAACAACATTGTTCATATTTACAACTCACATCTATAATAGTACGTAAATACTTTAGATAGTTCGCTTCAGTGTAAATAAATTCCCAAATAGCTGATTGTTTTTTCTGCTGTTGTTTTGTCATTTTCTATAAAGAATAAGAAAACACAAAGAGTAGTAAAAGACATTATTCAAGAAGGAAGATGTGTAGCAGTGGAATGTGAGGAAAACATAGAGAACTCATTACAAGAAATTAATAGACGAATCAATACTGAACTGATGCTTGTTTGTAACTTTTCAACAGGTTTGACGACATGTCTAAATTCTTGAATTTCAACAGTTACTTACCAAATCTAAGATTTATGTCACGGACTGAATTTAGTTAGACAGAAAAGAAGGAAGCACAGAACAACCGTCTTGTTCTAGAATGATAATTTTCATTAGCATCTATCTATAATCTCACTGTGAATAGGAGATAAAACATCTAGGTAACATGATGAGCGCTTAAAGGTCAGTGATTTACATTTCTAATCTAAATACATGTTCAGTAGTACGCTATAATGATTAAATTCAACAATCTCTGTGCTTAGTACTTAACCATTATTTACCACAAGATAATTTGTGAGTTAGTCACAGGATTGGTTTGATGAATTAACCAAATCAAGATGTAACATTACTCTATGAACTTTGTAACTGTTTAGTTGAATCATTTAAAGAGATGCAGAATTCTTTACAACATATTCAAGGACTGTTCACCTTAAAGAGAATGACTCAAAATCCTTTCGATAAGTGACAGAAATCCTATAAACATACATCAGCCATCTGCTTGATAAAAAATATTTAAAAGAGCAAGAACAAAGATTCTAGCTGAATAGTATGAATTCATTCTATTTCGTTTAGTTCTAATCAGCTGCTTACAACTTGGGATATTTAAACATCATAATTACATAATGGGTTTAAATGACTTACATGAAAGAGTTTGGTTGGAAGTTATATTGAAGACACATTAGTATAGTATAGTATAGTAAGGGTGTAAATAAATGGAATAGACTGAATAGTGTAAATATATACCTTATGCGATGTAAGAACATTCTAAAACATTGATTGTGACCTTGAAGGATTGCAAGGTATCGACCTGATGTTCTATATCAAGGAGATGTTTGGTAATTGCAGTATTTAGAGTTTTTCTTTCTGTTATTCTGAAGCTTTTTGGAACATGTTCAAAAAATCTGAGATATGCCCTCATTTCTGTTCGACCAATGTAGCTGCTTTGGCAGGTGCACATAAATTGATAAATACATCTGGTGGTAACATGAAAGGGGTGCGTGTCAACCTCGGATTGAGCTATTGAACATGTTGTATTATATAGAGAATTAAGAGTTTGGCCGCCGGATAAGTTCTGGATATCACAGTATTCAGTCTCCTGTTGATTATGTGTGTGACATCATCACCTTTGAAGTTAAGATTTATAGATAGTGGTTTCTTATTGACCGTAATTACTCCTATCTTGTTTTCTTCGGGCTTTTTTTATTTGTCGAAAAACCTTTGTGAGTAAAAGTTGTCTGTTAGGGATTTTCCCACGTTCATCAATTCTTCTTTCAAATTGTCGGTGGTATATATCTTTTCTATCCTATAAAATTGTGTTTTAACCAATACCTTCTTGTAGATGATTGAAAAAAAACAACTATTGAAATTCAGGTAAAAGCCATTTCAAGTACTTTTTCGATAAACCGAACGTTGAACTGTCCGATCTCCCATACGTTTTATGGCAATATATATAATCAGTTGAATGGAGAATGCTGGTGAGTGGCCCATGCTCCTCTACGAGGGATAACACATGTAACTAAGTAACTGGGTAAGTACTTAGCAAGTCAGAAAGCTACTAGTAATTCCGGAGATAATTTTCTCTGTGAAATGTTTGTAAGCAAGATAGAGTCCTGATTAGTGCATGCTCAAATCACGCTTAAATAGGAATACTTCAGTTAGTTAATTTTCAACTACTCATTGCTGATGAATGACTCGAGTATATACTAGAATATTCTGGCAAATTCCATACAAACTCTAATGTTCTATTGCTATGCCTTGGTCGTGGCTGTTTGGATTATTGGAACATGCATATTTTCTTCCCTTTGAATTATTATTCAAGAAAAAGTTTGTAATTAGGGTGGACTAGATCCTGTGAAAGAACACAAAAGGTCACATCATTATTGGAGGATTCGAAGAAAAAAACTTCTTTAACCTCACCCATCTATATCACCGATTCTCTGAAGAGAAAGAAGTAAAAAAACAAATCTCACTTACTGAAGATGATTTAACAATTTGTTCCCATGACTCTTCAAGAAAAAATAGACTAGCTAAATCTTGACTATCAAATTGTTGACTAATCGGCATATTTTGATGTTGACTATCTTCAAAACGTGAATAAGAATTCGATTTTTGTCGAATTGCTTCCTCTGAATTCGGGCTTGTAGCTAATGGCATAGATGTAGTTGAATTCCTGTCTGATATTTTCTGTCGCTCTGATAGTAAATTTACCAGCACATTTGGGTTCAATTCACTTAGACATTCATTTATCAATTGATCAGACAATGAATATGAGTTCAAACTGTTACTTTTCTTGTAAAATTCAAACCAATTTTTCAGTGCATCAGAGGTTGTATCCTATAAAAAAGCAAAATGCAAATTGGATATATCAGTATACGGTTGTAGAGACTGTTGACTTTCATCGAGATCACGGACCAATAAATGTTAGACAACCATTAAGAATCTGAAAGTACTGAACTGCCAATTCCTGCTAATATGGGACTCTTCAGAAGTGCAAACCCACGATCACTCACGTGAGACTAGAATTTAGACCTGGAGTTAGATATTAACAGTGTCAGGTGCTGGGTTAGTAGTCTAGAGGTTAAGCGTTCGCGCACGAGACAGAAGGTTCTGGGCTTCAGTCCCGTGTGCAGGATTGTATACGTACACAACTGAAGAATCCCATACTAGTAAATATCAAGGATCGAGTTAGTTGACAGTTGAAATTACGTAATACATGTCTCAGTTACCTTAGTCGATGAAGATTTGCCAACCCATCAACACATTTGATATCTTTACCTAACCTTCTATGTTTAACCTCAGTATTTTTTGCCCACTGATTCCAGCATACATAAGCAATGTTTCGAAGGGATCTATTATCAAATACTAAATAATGAAACCTGTAAGATAAGTGATGTGGATGACACCTTCAACCATCTCACTACTTATCAAGAGTTTAGATGTTCAAGCAGTCCAGTCTTGAAGCAAAATGTCTAGCTTTTATTGCTTAGTGATACACTGTATCAGTCATACATAGGCTAAGTGATAAGCGCATGATATTATCGAAGATTTGACCTCATTTTCCAAAAAAGGAAACATAGGTCATTGGTTAAAAATATGGCTTAACTTTTTGAAGGAAGAAGATATTTATTGATGAACGAATTTACATATATTCTCGATTCGGTTTAACCAATAAAGCATCCTTCTAACTCTCAACGTCCTCACTCAAGTAGTTGGTTTGCACTTGCTTATAAAAAGCTTTTATGTCAGTATCAGGCTAGGTTGCCACTTATAGAATTCTGTCTATCACGAATGTCAATAAATCATACTGGTTAGTGCCAAGTAGAATTTAACCTAGTTGTATGAATCTCCGTAGATCCGCTATAGTCACTCAACCTTGGTAGGGATTCATCTAAATTTGTGGTCATATCGTAACAAGATTGATAGGATTTTAAAAGGAATCAGAGAGAGGCAGTGTGACCAATTATTGGTCACTGGCTGTCATAGGACTGCATCTCCTTGCGATGCTTCACTGCCTTGTGGATTAGACATTTAGGTCAAAGGCTCCGAGTGTGGCCTTGCTTTGGTTTGGGCACTCGGACAGTATTCCAGCCCTCTCACAAATCGAATGATTTATATGACGCATATCTATTTAGTGCCTCTTTGTACCAATGTTTATGTGTTTAATAAATATTTTTAAAAAAATGCTAATACCAACATACTGAATGTTGAAATTAAATAAATTTGAATATATAACACTGTCAATGGAGATAAACTAAGAAAAACAAACAACATTCAAATACAGTGAACTATGGACTAATCAACCAGCCTAAATACCATAATAGCTCACCGGTTGACGTCTTTTTAGCGGGTTAGTTTCTTACGGGTTAGGGTCACTATACCCATGCCCAACCCTCCCCCTTTATCCGAACTTGAGACCGGCGGTAGCCCCAGGTGGGCTTCAAGCGGAGTATAATAGCTCACTAGGATTACCAAACTAGCTGGTGTATACATTAGAAGAAAAGAAAAAAGATTCTAAATGCTCACTATTTTTGTTATACAAGCAACTTAGTATATTATCGTGTGATTCGTATGAAGTACGTCATTCATTTATCACGTTGATTATATACCATATAAAATCAATCAATGAAATCACTCATTGAATGAAAACTGTATTTTATAGTTTATCAGAATCATCATCTAAATATGTGTTATGAAGTTGTACTTGATAAGTATGAGAATTAATTCAAGAAGGGTATTTCTGTTATTGAAATGTTTACATTTAGTCTAATTTTACTAATTAATCAATAAATAGTATCACCGTTGATCATCATCTTGTCAATTAAGTTATAGTATGTTCAATAAGCTAAGTAACTCAATATTATTGTGATTTGTTATTCTTTTGGTATTTAGTAAATGAAATGAATCAATAGGAAACTTTAGACTTGGAATTTATTATTAAGATACACTTAGAAATTTATATCTGGGTAACTGTATAAGTGCTGGTGTTGGTGTGAGTGATGAGATTAATTCACTTTTAGTGAAATCCAGAATGACTTATGCAAATCTAAGCCATCTTTGGCGCCTTCATGATGTTGGTCTGGTTGTAAATGATCGGATTTACAACGCGTCGGTGAGAGCAGTTCTGCTCTATGCTTGTGAAACCCGGCCTCTCCGAGTTCAGGATGTTAGAAGACTCTCTGTGTTTGATCATCGCTGTCTCCGAGGGATTGCTGACATCCTGTGGGAACACCATGTCAGTAATGCAGAGGTTCGGCATCGTGTCTTCGGGCACAGTGATGATAATGCAATCGATGTCACCAACTTGAAACACGGAATTCAGTGGCTTGGACATGTTCTATGAATGTCGTCTCAGAGAATTCCACGTTGTGCATTGTTTGCCGACTTTGGGACTGGTTGGAGAAAGAGGAGAGGTGGTCAGTGTATGACATGGTGTCGTGATATGAAAGAAAGCTGTACACGACTGGCTTCTGTCAGTCCCTCACAACTCGCTGGTTGAGGTCCTAGAGATGGTGTAACACAGTGTCTAAAGACGTTATCAAATATAGCTCATAATAAAAGTCAATGGCTATCCTGCCGTGACTGTAGTTTACTTTCTTAATAAAAAATGACTTAGCTTCTTTAACTGGAAGAATTCTTTTTGGTTGTACCTCAGCTAACTGAACTACTTCTCCCACTATCATTATTACTGTTATTATTATTTCACTATCATATACTAATTTCTGTTCTTTATTATTGCCTTTTTTCTTATACACACCTTACATTCTTTATCTCTTCACATTCTCATTATTATTGTGTGGCGCATATGTATCTGGCGGCCCTTGGTACCAATATTTATGTGTTCAAATAAGTAAAAAAAAAATAGAAACTTGAAGATCATGGATCAATGACTGATCTGTATAAATGTTTCAGTTTCTCAGGAGATCAACCGATTTCACTTAGAAGATCCCTAACCATGATACAAGGTGGTATCAATTAAAACGTTTTAAAAAATATCCAGTTAAAAAACCAGTTTCCGGTGTATTCTACTAAGAAATTGGGACTTATAAAGTTCATATATGTAAAGAGTCAAACAGCTATCACCAATGGTATCCAATAAACGTAGAATTTGAAATTGTACTATTGTTTATCGACCTAATTGTTCTAATGGTTGACGAAACCTGAAGGTCTCAGGTATGATTGCTATTGGAGATGTGATTGCTGACTACTAATGAGTCTCATAATAATACTGTACAGCTAATTAGTGCTCTCTGGTTCTAAATGGTATCTTAAATAAGAATACCGAGAAGTAGTGGTAACGATGATAATAATAATAATAAGAGTAGTATAACAAAACGCTTTACATAAAATATCTATATTTTGGCTGGTAATTATTAATACGAAGGTTTCTCTTATTTAACCTTCAATTCATCCTACTACTTAACATGAATTATACTTCTTAACAAATTGTTCTCCCATTAAAACAGTCAGCTGAAATTATTCAGTTATTATTTGAATAGTTTTTTTCTGATTAGCGCTTTTTTAGCGAGTTAGTTTTCTACGGGATGTGGTCACTAACCACATGCCCAACCCTCTTCCTTTATCCGGGCTTGGGACGGGCAGTAGCCACCGGAGGGACTTCAGAAAGTGTTATACTTCTGTTGAATAATAATTTCGTTTCATAATGAAGGATCAAATATTATCATATGATATTCTTCTGATTTCATGAAAACGTTAATACTTGGATGGGGGTAATTATTGTATTTCTTATCGATTTATATTGACAAATTAATTCAGATGATTATGATTGTATTAAACTGATCGATTGTTATTATATATGCTTAAAATTTATTGATTGATAGTTTCCAATCCCTATTTCACTCTTTCTTAATTACTTACGCCTGTTACTCCTCGTGAAGCAGCATAGGCCGCTCACCAGCATTCTCCATCCAACCCTGTCCTGGGCAGTCCTTTCCAGCTCCGTCCAGTTCCTATTCATCCTTTTCGAATCTATTTCTATTGTCCGACGCAATGTGTTCTTTGGCCTTCCTATTTTCCACTTCCCTTCAGAACTCCAAGTTAGGGCTTGTCTTGTGATGCAGTTTGATGATTTTTGTAATGTATGTCCTATCCATTTCCATCGTCTTTTCCTAATTTCTTCTTCAGTTGGAAGCTGATTTGTTCTCTCCCACAAAAAGCTGTTGCTGATCGTATTCGGCCAATGGATGTTGAGTATCTTGCGAAGACAGCTATTTATAAATACTTGTACTTTCTTGATTGTGGTTGCTGTAGCTCTCTAAGTTTCAGCTCCATACAGTAGAACGTTCGTATTGAAGATCCTGACTTTGATATTGGTTGACAGACAGTTGTTTTGAGTTGCATATGTTCTTCAATTGTAGGACTGCGACCCTTGCTTCGTCAATTCTCGCTTTTACGTCTGTATCTGATCCTCCTTGTTCATCGATGACGCTTCCCGGGTATGTGAAGGATTCTACATCTTCCAGAGTTTCGCCATCAAGAGTGATTGGATTACTGTTCTCCGCCTTGAATTTGAGGACCTTGGTTTTGCCTTTGTGTATGCTGAGGCCTACTGATGCAGAGACTGCTGCTACACTGGCTGTCTTCATCTACATCTGTTCGTGTGTATGCGATAGGAGGGCTAGGTCATCATTTCACTCTTTCTAGAAAGTCTTATATTTCTTTTTATAATGAAAACAAATCTATTGAGGTTATACTAAATGATAATTGTAGTATATTAGACTAATGCATATTTCTTCATGATATAATGACCCTTTTTCAATTATCTAATAGTTTGATTTATCTTATGGAACATCCATAGATACTAAAAATATACACAATAAATAAAAAAAACTATGAATAAAATGTAGTCAGATACAATTTTATATTAAAACTTACAAATAAAGGAACTGATCTTCTTTCTACTTTTCTTGTATTAGTCAAATGAATACCAGTGGAAGTGATTTTATTCTTATAGATTTCTGTAAATTAGATATAATAAAAGAAAAAATAATGAATCTAACAATGTCCCCCCTCATTACTAATTATAGAAGAAAGGATATATATTACATAGTGATTCTTAAATTGTTTATAAATTGAAAGTTTAAGAAAAATGTTGATAAGCCAATTAGTACGAAATGGTCAAAGATATTTACAATTGATTGATCACTAACCAGTATTATGTCGTATGTACTACACTTAGTTGTTAGATAGTAAGATTCAATGGGCAAATAACCCTAGACTTATATTTTTATGTTAATTTTCACTTGTCAGCAAGGTGAACGTGTACATTCTTGAAAGAATTGACTCGACTTACTAGTTTGTTTAGTCACAAAAATGGTTAGTATGTAAATACATTTATTATATCTGTAAATGTTTGTATTGAATTCAGTAAAACTGATAGTCCTAATTGAGATGTTGGAGAAGATTTGTAGCTCAGGTGGATGAAGCTTGTTCTGATGATGTTGTTCAGAAGAGCGATGAAAGCTCTACGACCAAACCATCCAGCTCTGAGGACAACTTATTTAGGCTACACTATTAAATGCGAATAAATCTCAGTCAATTTTAACAATGTAACAATAATGTTGGTTAATGAAAAAATTTTAAGTCTTTGATGAAAATTAACGAGTACAATTAAAGAAAGAAGGAAGAATAAAAATCTTGTAGTGATTCTTTTTGCTATGTTTGAAGCCATGACGAGCTCATCTAGTCTGAGAACGGAACAAAAACTCTGTGACCAAAAACCAATAAGCTAGTTATTCTGATGCATCCCAGCGCAGCTAACTACAGAAAGAAGTTCATGTTCGAAACGGGGAAATATATTCCGCAAGCAACCAGAAGCACGAGCAATCCCGACAAACACAAATCAAACGTCTATATATACAGCATAAAATTGTCATTGGAAAGCGTTACAAAATAGCATAGTAAAAGATACAACCAACCAATAGCATTTAAGATTGTTCCATGTGGGAAATACCATATGAAGGTGAAAATGAGCGCTTTTGGCGCGAATACAAGAAATTCAAATTTTCAAAAATAAAAAATGATAAAAAATAAGATATTTACCAAGTGAATTATGAGGGATCTAACATTCCCAACACTTTTCGATGAAATACAAGCCAGTAATTTGAACAGTAAGTATAATCTTAACATTACACATGAGTGTACTATGATCACAATATGGATTATATTTAACATTTACTTGTTTAAATTAATCTAATTACTTACAAAAGAGTTTTAAGTAGTTTTATTCAAATTTTATTGAGTGTGCTTGTGAAATAGTCTAGTATTCACTCTTTTTGTTGTTGTTGTTGTTGTTGAATTGGCTAAAGACTTCAGCACTACTTAAACACTATCAAAAGAACACATTGATACTCAATAAATGTAACCATAATATTAATGAGTTTACTAATAGGTATCTGTTATGTCTCAAAGTGACAGCCGATTATATGACAGTGATTTATCGATCGGATCAAGGATTCAGAATCTCGATAGGCTATTCTGGTCCGTTGTCCCCAACTCTGCTAACTCGATCAAGAAGTCTGGGTAAGGTGTAGAAAGTGTATTCTACAGACAAACAGCAGATAACAAGTCTACCATAAGAAATTTAAGATCACAATTACATTTTCTCTCTAAATGGTTCAATTAATAAAAGTAAACTAAATTAATTTAACTAAGAAATTTGTAAAATTGTATTTTTATCATGGTCTAAAATTAGTAGAACAGTATAGATAGAGATGGATAGTGATTAGCAGTGGAATTCAGGATTCACGTTTCGCCTCACTTGGGATTCATCAGCTAGAAAGACATACATCCGGAGCCAATACCGTTTTTTTTTATCAAATATCATTACATTATCTATCTAGCTTTTAATTTCAGATAACCACTAGTTGATGCAATGGGGTGAGTTTTAATTTAGATATATTTGTTGTATTAAGCTTCCGACTGATGTTTAGGACTGTAATAGATTAGTCTCTTATCAAAATATGTGCATCCAGTGCTGATTGCTTTGATATTGCCTAAAGTCACAAGCAATATAACCAGAGATAAATGTACATATGCCAATAAGACACTGATCAATCGCAGTCCTAAACATCAATGAGAACATTCAAACAACCAATACAAAAATGAATCAGTAGAAGGATCATTAAAATTCAAGAATCACTGGATAGTGCTGTTAACAGATAGGTCGTCCAATTCAAACAAACATACTTACTATAGGCTTATTCAACCAGTTATGTGAATGGAAAGACTGAGGAACGATTAAGATATAATTGAAGAAGCCCAATATAAAGGTACACAAATCATTCGTATACATACGATTGTTATTCTGATACAAACAAGAGCATATAGTTTGAGACTTTAAATTGCTTCATAATTGACCTCCTCCAGTAGTGTGTTTCATTCATAATTTCCTATCCACCGCTTAAACCTAAGGTTGTATGTGAACAGAAACATTCAATTCACCTAAACTCATCAAGTCTATCAAGTGATTTTAATTCCAAATAATCCACAAACTCACAACCGTAAAGTTGAAATTGACTATTCCATAGTGTAAATTTTATCTAATTCATGGGATTATACAAGATCATTACTGACTTGTGTTATGTTGTCAACACGGTCAAGACATAGAGGTCACATATTTCTACTAGAACAGTGTGGAATTCAAAATTTACGATAAAAACAACTATTCAGTATATTTTATTATTTACCGATTTTCCTCTTGGTAAAAATCATAAACTAGTTTTTATTTTAATAGTTCAGATCATGAGTTAATAGGAACTAGACCACCATGGAAAACCTGGAAGCACTGGATGTTCGTTTCGTCCAGTGGTCTAATGGTCAAGTGCTCGCTTGCGAGACTGATAGGCGCTGTTTTCTAATCTCATGAGGCGGGATCGTGGATGCACACCGCCGAGGAGCCCTACAATGGGACGAAACAGCGGTCCAGTGCTTCCAGGTTTCCAGTGGTGATCTAACGTCAATCGGTTCATGATCCCAACCAAAAAGTTATTATTTGTCTAAACAATGTAGCACATGAATCGTTTAATTTAATGAATAAGATCTCAAAATTTGATTTACAGTACGGAAATAGAAATAATGATAAATTTTGAAACGTGAATGCTTTGTTACTATTATTGTGTTTAGTACTTCTTAAACCTTTCTTTTGGTAATTCCATCTTTACATTGAAAGGTTTGTTGTATAACGTCACGATTGTAACTATTTGAAACCAGGACTGAATGTTCTTTTTCTTTATCATGAACTTAAACAGTGAATTAAAATTAGTCAAGTGTATTTGAATTATTCAATAGTATGACAGGCGGTAACCCAAGGAGAGCTACAGGAATCTTCCTCGACACTATGGTGTACCTGAGAAAATCGTCAATATCATATGAAATTTATACGACGGACTACACTGCAAAGTCGTGGGTGGGGGACAGCTGATGGACGCATTCCAAATGGGGACCGGAGTCAGACAAGGCTACTTACTCTCCTCATTCATTCCGGTGGTTGATTGGATTATGAAGACCTTCATATCTGACGGGAAGCACAGGATAAAATGGACAGCTTGAATGCAACTTGACGATCTGAACTTAACTGATTACCTAGACCTCTATTCCATACACACCAACAAGTACAGATGATAACAGTCAATGTAGTAGACGCCCAGTAGACCTTAACATACATAAGGGAGAAACCGAAATCCTCAAATACAACACAGAGAACACCAACCTGATCGAATTTGATGGAGAACCTTTAGGAGAGGTGGAAACTTTCACGTATTTGGTTAGCAGCATCGTCGATGAACAAGGAGGATCTGATGCAGATGTAAAGGCGACGATAGGCAAAGCAAGGGAAGCATTTCTGCCACTGAACAACACATAAAACTCAAAACAACTGTCTGCAAACCAACATTAATGTCATAATCTTCAATACAAACGTCGAGACAGTTTTATTGTACAGAATGGAAACTTGGAGAACTATCACAGTCATCATTAAAAATGTACAACTACTTATAAAAAATTGTCTACGCAAGATAATCAGTGTCAGTTATCGACCGGATACCACCATCAACAGCCTACTGTAGGAGAGAGCAAACCAGAATCCAGGTGAAGAGGAAATTAGGAAAAGACGTTGGAAGTGTATAGGACATGCATCACGGAAATCACCAAACTGCATCACGAGAGAAGCGCTAACCTGGAATCCTGAAGGGAAACGGAAAAGTGGGAGGCCAAAGGACACATTGCGTTGGGAAATGGAATTAGGCACGAAAAAATAAATGGCGATTGGAAACAAATGGAAAGGTCTGACCAGGACAGAGTTGACTGAAGAACGGTGGTGAACAGCCTATGCTCCTTCACGACGTGGGTTAATAGGCATAAGTAAGTAAGTAGGTAAGTAAGTAATTATGGTCATTGATAAAAATCCGATCGACAGACAGTGAGGAATAGGATGTAAATTCTTGTATCTCAATCTACTATAATACAACTACATTGGAAATAAGTTCAAAATAATAGCAGGAGATGTCATTTTGAAATAGATCGAATATAGAAAATATGACTTAAAAGGGATCAATAAAGTTTTAGAATTCACCGTATGGAATAATATTGAAACTCAAGTTCTATGAGAGGAAATGAAATCAATGTATATACATTAGTGTGATTATTTTGACAAACGTAGACCACCGTCTGCAAACATTGACGATGATTATCTTGTGAACCGTTACTTGGAGGTCTATACCTTTTGACACAGCTTAACTCAATAGTGAATGATTTGGTGAATTGATTCCATGTATTGGTTTGTCTATTTCCAACTTTCTCTCAGTTCAATTTTATGTCAACCAGAACAGAACATCGATATTGGCAATGGTCGGTCGTCTGTAACATATGTCACACCCACAAATCTACTAACAGAACACAGGTTAAAATGGTCGGCTGTGAGGGTTAGAGATACTACCCAGTTTCTAAAACCGAGATTATT